CATCATAGGGATTTTCGTTTTTGCCCTCTTTTCCCGTAGCTGCTTCCGATGGAGTAGCGGAGCGTTTAGCGTATGGAGTTTTGGGGGGTTTTGGGGATCTTTCAATGTTTCGGCGCTCGCACTCGGACAATCCAGGCGAGGCATATGGTTCGAGGTCTGACTGTTGAGTGAGACTGTTGAGACAACGCTGAGCCCAATACACCCCCCCGAGGTCCAATGTCACATCCTTGCACGCTAATTAGTATAATTATATTCTAGGACCTCGAGCACTACCGAGTGTACATCGCGACATCGGGCGGTGGGGTACGTCCAACCTCTATAAGACTGTCGGAGACCGGGAGAGGTCCAGTAACAGTGCGCGATTTATGTGTGGAATCACCAAACGACTCCAACTCTATATAGTTCAGATCACACCTTAGGGGTATTGGGTGAACAACATAACGAGGAATACGGAGCATTGAGCATTATGAGGGCCAGGAAGGGCCCAGGTAGAATACGTCTGTGATCTGGTTCGGGAAGCTTCCTGATCCCCAGCAAGAACTGCGACGCTCTTTGGCATCATATGTGAGACTTCAGAGTACATCCACTGGAGTCACAAAAACATCAACCGAACTAATAACAAAAACTAAGCACCCCCACACATGTCATACTTGCTTAATTTGACCCGTGATGTCGGCACAAGGTTCAACTTTCAAATGCGCTCAAGTGACCCAAATGAGTGCATGTAATGTTGAGGCAAGCGGCGGGTCATCGTCCAGTTTCACCTCCTCGGCTCATGTGTGCTCCCTCCGACACGCACGACAAACAGCAACTGCAGCAACAGAAACAAGACCGGTCACAACAACAGCCTCCCGAACAGTCGCGACGATGTCTCGCTGCACTCCAACTCCACGGAGTCATGTCATCAGTAAAGCGTGAGTCATCACGGATGGATGCTTGTGCCTCGTGTTGTCTGCTGGTTCACCGATTCGCAATCTATCGCTCTTTGACAGGACCGTTTGATAGGTGCTAAGTCATCTACACAGGTCCGTGTCGTCATCTTGGCTCTACAGATCTTGTCCCCGATGACAATGCTTCTTGTACCCAAGAGATTCAGGCTATCGGCGGAACAACCGGGCCTCCCTCATTACGCGCCCTGAGTGTGCAGGGGACCACGACTAATGTGGACACTCGATAAGGTCTCTGGTGCATCTACTTCCTACAGCTGCGTGAACAAATCGGCAAACCCGGTTGAGGAGAAGCCTGCTGGTGCGGCAAAAGTTTCCACGAAGCGCTTGTTGCCCGGCACGATGCTGCGATGCAAATTCAAAGAGGCCTGCCGACTGCTTCATCCAGGGCTCAGAACTGCGCTCACTCGTCTATCCATGGTTGCACTACACCCATAGCCCCATTTTGCCACCCACCGGATGTAAGAAACAACTGGCAAGCGTCTCGTATGAACCTCAAGCTCACCGAGACATCAAGAGCTGTGCGAAACCTGCAGACACAAGTTTCGCGCATGTCTGTCAGCTGCAGAATGCTAACCCACGTCTGCGGCATCACCAGAACTGCCTCTCTACCGCAAGGCCCGCAAAGTCTCCACGCCCGCAAGAGCATCACCCACGGTGGCAGCACAAAACAATCGCTCATCGAACACTGCACAGCTGGCCTGAGCTCCCTCAGCTGCTGCGAAGGTCACAGCGGCAGCACCTGCTTATGGAGCAGTCAATGTCGAGTTGCAAGTCGTTAGGCGAAAAGCCCATAAAAAAACCGCTGCTAGCAAACCGGTTCGCAGAAAGCACGAGCCCGCCAACAGGCCAAGCCTGTATCGTAGTCTTGCAAGCCCTTAACACGCATGTTCGTCTACCCTCATCAGCAAAGCTTGTGGTCCTAACAAAAACGCGTCCGAATGTCTTGGAGGCCTGATTCCAGGATCATCATCTTCTTGATGTTATTATTCGCTGTTCATATTCTTCATCGCCATGACCATAATCATCATGATCATCGTTTTCGTTGTCTTCATCCTCACCACCTGCAGCTTCATCATGCTCCTCATGATGATGCATCATGATGATAACTACAGGCAGAATCAGCACCAGTCCGAGTATCAAATACATACATAGGTAGTTTCCGCAAATTAGGGGTACCTAGTTTTGGGGTACTTAGAAAAAAGCATCCTACTATGTATGGTACTGTACTATATTAGGCTCCCCCATGTCCGGAAACTCTAAACCCTAAACCCTTTATAGAGCCCTTATAGATCCCTTAAACGAACCCTTATGGTACCCTTTGCAGGAACCCTGTTTCCGGACACTCCCATAGTACTCACTCATGTAGTGGCAACTCTTGTCCCGATTCCTGCGGAATCCGCCTCGGCCCCACAACTCCACGGAGGTGACAGGGCCGGCCTTCACTAGGACTTAGAGGATTCGGGGGACCCTTGGGGGATGCAGCCCCTCTCAATAAGGTCCCTTAAGAAGGGTCCCCTTTAAGGGGGTACCCTAATACTACCTAGCCTTCATCGGCACACGCTTAGGCAGAGAGGTTTAGGGCTTAGGGTTTTCGGGCTTTGGGGTTGAGGGGATTCAGGCTTTAGGCCTTAGGGTTTTTTTGACACTCACACTCGGACAAAGCCTTTACGCTCTCGCAACTCGGACAAGCCAGACGAGGTTCTCGGTGCTCGTCGGTACTACTGCCAGCTTGCTCAAACCCTTACACTCGAACAAAGCCTTTAGGGTTTTGGGGTTGAGGGGTTTTGGGCTTTTAGGTTGCAAGTTTTGTGAGTTTGAGGGGCTTAGGGTAGTTAGAAGTCGGGTCGTAGGAGCTATCAGCTATCGGTTGCCGGTTCTGAAGCAGCTGTGAGTCCTTGTAGGCTTTTTGGTTGCCTCCGTAGTCAAATCACAGGGTTCATGGGCTGTTACATGTGTAACCTCTTGAACCTTCTAAGCAGGCGTGATGAAGCTTGGAGCAAGGGTCGTCTAAGTTCTCGCGGGCAGCACACCTTTGGCAGGCGTAACATGGGGGCCTACATACTTGGAGCAGGCTTTAGGTATACTGTAGAAAAATTATGAGGACTACCACGAGTTTATTGCAGTAACATTAATAAGTTTTTACTGTCCGGACATCTATATACTAGGCTTCGCACGTACTGAGTACTGAGATGTCTTGCCACGCCTTTCCGGGCTTACACTGTGCTGGTCAGGGCTTCCAAACGCACCTCTGCGATTCCCAAAGCCCCCAAATCCAAACTGGACGGACGGCTGCCTGGGAGAAGTGATCACGGAGCGCATCCTGCACTGTTGCTAATGTAGGGACCTTAATAACTAGAATAGATCTTGGGGCCCCCTTATACAAGCAGTATTAATATAAAAAGGAACCCTCAGAAACAATGTTGGTAATTATTCTATCTTGGGTTCAGGTGCCAGCCCCCAAAAGGCTTGGCAGGATCTCAACTCGAGGACAACTGTCCGATGGCCACAACCGCTACAAAATCTGACGACACAACTGCTCAGTTCCATGCTAAACCCTTTTGCAACAGGCTTCGACTTCGCGCGGAGTTCCATGCTAAACCCTTTTGCAAAACCCTAAACCCTGAACCCGTTTTTGCAAAACCCGGAACCCTAAACCCTAAACCCTGAATCCTGTACTTGCAAGGCGGCGGCAACAGTCAGAACCTGTCCTCCGAGGTGCCGAAATCAAAGCCGCGCACGTACACTCGATGGCATGGCTCCTTAGACGTTTTTGTTTTTTTGAGGGCTCTTTTCTGTCTGCACCGTCTCGGGTTTAGGTTTAGATTGCAGGATTCAGTCACGGCAAGCTGTTGCTTCGAGGACGTGGTTTAATGCTTTCGAAGTCTGAGATGTCACAAGACCGTCGCCGCCGAAGCCATGAAATCAAGGCCACAGGATAGCTTTAGCGAACCAGCTATCCATGTGCATAGACACAATCCCGAAACCGCAATGCATGGAGACAAACCCTAAACCCTTTTTTGAATCAGGACTTGTGCAATCGCCTGAATGTTCGAAACCCTAAAACCCTAAGCCCGATTCCCTATAGATCCCATATTTTAAAGGAACAAGTATAGTACCATTAAAGGAAACCTTATACTACCCTTGAAAGGACCCCTTCTAGCGCCCCCTAAAGTAACCCCTGTAGTACCCTGTAAATAACCCCTTTGTAGTAGCCTGCAAAGGAACCCTAAACCCTGAAACTGATGGGAGGTCCAAAAGGGGGTTAAGATTCTTGGGGTAGGGATCCCTTAATATGAACCCTATAATGGGAACCCTAATCTCTACTCTACTAAACCCCCATAGGCTAAAACCCCGTTTGGCCTCCTATGATGAACCCCTGAGCCAAGTAGCCTCGGCCATCGTTGGAACTCTACGAAACGCGGGGGGGCGAAGAGTCGTTGTCGAGATGTTGAGCCACGATGTGCTTCAGGAAGGCCACACAGGGTTTAGGGTACAGGGGTTGGGGGTTTAGGGGTTTAGGATGGTTTAAGGGTTAGGGGTTTAGGAGGTACCCGGCAGTCGCAATAGGCCTGGATGCAAAAGAAAAGGGTTTGAGGGGTTTAGGGGCAGAAGTCATGTCAGTATCTGACTTAACCCCAAACCCATCCCGAACCCCAAGGCCCTATTATAGAACCCCAAGGCCCTATTATAGAACCCCAAGGCCCTATTATAGAACCCCAAGGCCCTATTATAGAACCCCAAGGCCCTATTATAGAACCCCAAGGCCCTATTATAGAACCCCAAGGCCCTATTAAAATCCCTACAACCCAAAAACCGAACCATCCCAAACAGCGGCGCAAGCAGCAAAACGACTCACCCAAAAGGTCCAAGTATTATTATGGGTATACACTTAGACCCCAAAATACCCTATAAGTATATACCATACCTGGGCCCTAAGGAACCTACCTTTTTAGGGACTTATATAAAGAAATCATATTAGGGGGCCCTAAAAAGGTAGGTTCCTTAGGGTCCAGGTAACGATACTTGGACCCTTTGACTCACAGCTCCCGCCTGAGCATGAGGTCAGCCAGAGCCGTGGCACATCATGGCTCGACTGGAGGACCGCTATGTACACGCATACATACATGTATGTATACACACATATATATATATATATATATTATATCTATATATATATATAGATAGATAGATAGATAGATAGATAGAGATATAGATATAGAGAAGGCGAGGGAGAGAGAGAGAGAGAGAGAGAGAGAGAGAGAGAGAGAGAGTATCTCACCCTCTCTCGCTCTCTCCCTGCTTGGGCATGCCTCGGGTCAAGTGACTGGTGCTCTGGTTGCTTTCTCAGCTGCAGATACTCATGGCCCAAAACCAACGGAAACACAAGTTGAAACTTTGAGAAACGACTACCTTATAAAAACCCCAAAAGTTGAAAAGTTGAAGGATAATGGAGTCGCTGGCAGTGGGTGGCAAACTGAAGTGGCAAACTGAAGCCTGAGAACTGATCCAAACACTTCCGTTGAAGATGCAACGGCTTAGGGTTTAGGGTATAGAGTATAGGGCTGAGGGTATAGAGTTTAGGGTTGAGGGTAGAGGGTTTAGGGTTACGATGGCTCCGTCTGTAGAAATTCAGGTGCAAATGCCCGCAGGCCAAGGGCAACATGGACAGACCACTCTTTCTCTGTTTGGCCCGAGGCCGTCTGCAGAAACACTGCGTCTTGTCAAGGCATGTTACGCCATCTGAACGAATTCAAAAAATGTTCAAACTCGAGCTACTGTCGATGCGTCACAACTGGTCCGCGTAGCACACGCTTGATTTGCCGTTCGGCAAGGGCAGACAACAACTCTTGCCATGTCCCAACATCTTCTCAACAGGGCAAGGTGTGGCTCTTGGGGTTTCTTACCTACTAGGCTATATAATGGGTATATAATAGCTATATTAAGGGTATATACCTAGGGTTCCCTATTAAGGGTTATTTCTGTCATGCCAGGAATGGACTTTTCGCTTCAAAGCCAAAACAAAACAAGCGCGTGCTGTTCAGGCACGCAATCTTGTGTGCATGCAGGTGCTGGTACTCTCATAAGGCAACTGCGCTTTTGCGGGGGTCAGCGCACATGAGAGGCAGGTATAACTGCACAAAGCTGCAACACTGCCCTTAGGGCATGCCGCGTAGCTTTTTTGCTTTCTAGACCTAATGAGCTTAACCTCCCAGATATCTACTTCAGGCTCGCTCTTTGCCAATTGCTAAAGTAGCCTTGCTGCCACTACTGCAAGGAGCGAGGGCCGGAAGAGACATGGTGAATTATAGCACAAGCTCCACAATCGTCTCGACTGCAGCTCCTGAAACGGGCAACTGCACAAAGTCCAGCGGCAATGGGCTGAGCCTTCTTGCCCAAGTCAAGCCGAATGCATGCAACAGCGACTACGGTAACAAAACCCTGATAGTCAGACTGTTCATTATGGTCGGATACACCAGAGCGAAACTCATGTTTCAAGTCCTCCTACTTCTTGGACATCGATTCTGAGGCGTCCCAATCGGGAGGAGGCGGCTCACGCAGAAATTTGTCCTCAAGTACACGTTGTCACCATGGGCTCTCCGTGCATGCATGGAGACAGGTAGTGTTGCAGAACTATATAGTAATATGCAAAGTCGGTATGTATGCGTGCGCAGTCAACCATATACTTTGTACCCGATATGTGCCACTTGATATGTACATACAGAACTACAGAGATACCTACATACCTACACATGTATGCACATACGCCAACACAACATGACACAGCATAGCACGGCAATGCACAGCATAGAATCACATGACATACACTGGATGAACAAGGAGAGCTTTGGGGCCCCGGGGCCTCAACCCACAGAAAGCTGCAAATGATAGGATGAGTCTGAACACCAAAAGCAGGCATGCGTCGGTGTAGATATGATCTTCCATGGGAGTCTAAAGAAAACGATGGAACGCGCCTCTTGTACGTCGGATTGTTAGATTAGACTACGAGATGCTACTGCCGGAGCCAGGGCTGGAGGTTGCAGCAATCAGTCACAAGGATTGTTGGCCAAGCGGCGCACAGGTGAAGCAAATGCTGGGACGGAACGTCAACGCTGCCTTGCCGGCCACGCAGGCTGCGGCACACCTTCAACAACTGCATGTTTGAAAATCAAGCAATCGCGCACATGCGGTCTGTCCCGCATACACGGCTGCTATACCCGAGACACCAGACACAACGCAAAAGCCAGCCACAGGCTTGCTTAAAGGATCATGTGACTTAGTAAGTGGGCTTATAAATAAGGTAACTCTACTTATAAGTACTTATAACCCCAATTAAGGCACTTATAACCTTACTTACTAAGTCCAATGATCCTCCAAGTGCACGTCAGCACGTGGTGCCTGGCCTTTGCAAACTTGAGCCCGGCCCCTGGGCCCGATCGACCGGAAGATGAACTTCCGAATCCCGAGCTCACGAACCCAGAGAGCCCAATACCCCCTTAATTAAGGAATGAATATACCTTAAATCATATTAGGGATCCTATTATAATTTAAGGTATATTCCTTAATTAAGGGAAGGCCCTGAAGTCAGTTGAATTATGTCTGAGCAAGAGCGCATGAGTCTGCTTTTGAAGGTTCATGTCCAAATTGTTGAGAGTGAAAACGGACCCGGAGAGCCTCAGACAGCAGCGGGCGCGCTTCACCGAAGTGCCGGTTCACGAAGAGATCGAAAGCTTTCCTGCAAGCCCAAATTATAAGTGCAACGGCACAGGGGTTCGGAGCTGGGTTGTTGAAGACGATTTCACTATATGACTCACACCTACCAATGTAGGCTTGAATCAAGCACCTGTTCTCGGCGTGGTGCTGCCTGGTCAACTTACCACTTATGCTGATCCACAGGTCTAGAGGCTTGCTAGTTTCGTCTTCCAAAGGCCAGGCCCAAATCTCACACCCGCAGGTGCTGTTCGTTCATGCAACCCTGCAGCATGGACATCTCTAAGCACCATGCGATGCAGAGCTATCTAGGCTTCCCTTCCCGCATTGGGGCGAGGTGGCCTGTGTATGTCGTAGGTCTTGGCCAGAGCAGATTTCTCTGCTGTACGACGCGCGCGAACCTCCCAGACCTTGATGGGGGCGAGGGCTTCCGGCATCGGGTTTTGCGGCTCTAGGCCTGGCTCTTGGGGTGTGTAGAGCCGAGTGCTTACAGTAGGCACAGGGTAGGCCGCCCTTCTGCAATTGAGAATCGAAGCCCAGCGGAGAAATTGGACATCTTTGCTTGAAAAGCCAAAATGATCTAACATGCAACAGGTTCCGAAAACCGGGTCAAACACTGCAACTCATGCCCAGGGTCTACTGAAATCACGACAATCAGTGAATGTATTTTTGCTGCGAAACCACTGTCCTAACAACCTAGTGACTGACTGGCTGACTGACTTACTTACTTGCTGACATACCCTTCCCCACCACCACTACCCTCATGATGACAACGACTGCTGCTGCTGCTACTTTGACGGCGGACTACGACGACAGTAATATTGGAGCTTCAAAAACTAGAACAAGGTTTTGGGGTGTTTGATTCCTTCCTATTTAGTAAGGAGCCCCAAAATTAAAGTGGTACTGGCAGAGCCCTTTACTGCCCGTTCCTTCTTATCCAGTAATGAACCCTGACACAGTATTGGTAACCATGTAAGCCCCAAAATAACTTCTTCAACCCTAAACCCTGAACCCCCAACTACCCTCTAATATACCCTAAAGACCCACTATTAAGGACCATAAGGACTCTATTAAAGGGCCCTAAGCCCTTCCAGCACTCGGCAGGCCTTGGTTGCAGACTTCCGGCCCTTGAGGATGAGGTTCCCCACAGGCCGGGCCACGAAGGTCTTATGCAAGTCGTCTGCCTGCGCCCAAGGGCTGCAGTCAGTGTGTGTGTGTGTGTGTATGTGTGTATGTGTGTGTGTGTGTGTGTGTGTCTGTGTCTGTGTCTGTGTCTCTGTGTGTGTGTGTGGGTAGTTAAGAAAAATAGAAAAAAGTGCAGGCTTTGGGGCATCAGGATTGATTTTTTGTTGAGGTTATGGGGTGTCGATTTGGGGTGTCGAGGCGCTGTCGAAAACTCCTCTGGTCGGGAGACACTGCATGGCCTCCTCCAGGCACTCGTTGGAAACCAGACAGGATGTGCCGAAGTGGGAGTTGATGCTCCTGGTTCGGACTCAGCTTACGATGTCTGGGTGATATGAAAATATATGAAACACAGAACCCTGGCCCAGCAAAGCGCCTCGCTCGAATGTGAGATGCTGTTGTGTTTTCATGATACCTACTGAAAGTAAACCCTCGCATCCAGCTTGCAGTTCTGAAGCCGGGAACAGGAAGCCTTTATTCTGCATCGACCGTGCGATGAAAGCTCCCAAACTCTGCCGAGACTCTTCAACCGCGCAGCGACATTCACGCTGTCGCCCAGCACGCCATACCTCGCATATAATAACAGGAGCAGCGAGCCACAAAGCATTATCGCCAAACTAGATGCATGCGACAAAGCACTGCATTGTACAACGTCGACAGGCGAACACAAACAAGATTTGCAAATCAGGATGTCTTCACCAGAAATCTTTATGAAGAATTTCCATGCTTGGTTATGAGGAAGACCTAAAAACGGTACAGCGCTGCGGCAGCCTGCTTTGCACGGTGCCCGTGCCTCTAGTCTCAACGTATTCTTCCCGCAGTGTTTGCGCAACTATCCACGGATAGATAGATATGCACGTATGTATGTGTGTGTATATAAATATATATGCATATGTATATAATATTTGTATTCTTTGCACCTGTCATAGTCATAATCTAGTCATGCATAGACATACCGTCGTGAGGCACGATCATACTGCGCCATCATCGAAAGCCATCAACAGGCAAACGAACACCATGCGAGAAGTGAGGAATCTTGAAAACATGTCTGCGATGAACTTAACCCATGTTTCCTGCCACTGGAGTAAGCTCCTTCTGCATGGTGGGCAATCAAAGATGTATCTTGTGGGGGGAAATCTTTTGCAAAACGCAGCACGGAGGCTGCAGTCTCGAAACTATCCCAGCACTTACCTTCCACTTTTGTCGCAAAGCTTTGTACCAGATTGACCTCACAGTTGTCACCAGCCAGTGGCTAAATAGACACTTCCCTGAACCCTAAATCTAAACCGAGACACTTGATACGAGTCTTCGACCCGATGTTGCCAACCAGGACCTGCTCCAGGAGGGGCAGATACATAGGTCAATGTGTAGATTTGGGTACCTGTGGTCGATGAGATGTCCAACATGATTATATTGAATACTTCTTGTAGCTGGGGTTTCAGAAGCCCGCAGCGACAAGCACCACAGCTGCAAGCTTTTGAAGGTTCAACACACGAATCTGAGACAGAAAGCCCACTGCTGCACCTTGCCCGAGTGAACGCCGCAGCGCATGCGGACCCCAAGGCGCTCCACGCGCTCAAGGACATCCTGTTCGGCTTCGCCATGACAAAAACGACCCTAAACTCTGTCCGTCCTTCTCCGGCCCTTGCAATCACCACGACTTGCATCGTCGTTACTACTGTGGCTGCTGCCGGTCTTCACTGCTCGATAATGACCACAACTCTCGTTTTTGCCTTGCTTGGTCTTTAGTGGTCACACTGGCACTGTTTTGCTTTTGCCATGCTCGATACTCGTACTACAACTGCTTGCTTGGCGGTTAGCATAATCAGGAGAGGTACATATGATTATTACTCATATGTATATGTGCATCGTTCCTGGCGTAAGGGCTTGCTGGTGGTGGTGGTGGTGGTGGTGGTGGTGGTGGTGGTGGTGGTGGTGGTGGTGGTGGTGGTGGTGGTGGTGGTGGTGGTGGTGGTGGTGGTGGTGGTGGTGGTGGTGGTGGTGGTGGTGGTGGTGGTGGTGGTGGGGGTGGCGGTGGCGGTGGCGGTGGCGCTGGTGCTGGTACTGGCCGCCGGGATGGCGGTGGCGCTTGTGCTGGCGCAGTGCCGAGTGCTGGCGCAGTGCCGAGTGCGTGTGGCGGGTGGGTTGCCGTCGTGGCAGTGTCGCCCACCGTCGCAAAGAACGCCACGGGCGCCCGAACAACAAAGGAAATGCATTGTGCAGGACGCATGTCAGAAAGTGCCGAGAATACCGCAATCTGACCGGTAGCCTTGCACAGCCGCACACATCCCTGCACTTGAATAATCGAATAGTTTGCTGAATTCGTCGAGGTACTGTCGCGGCTTCTGTGGCATGCTCCTCGTGGTCCACCACCTTCCAGTTCGTGCAAGATGATGTGTCTTTTGCTCGGGTAGAATTGATTCCAGGGAGCTATAGGGCCTTAATAATTAGAATAGGGTTTTGGACCCATTATACTATTACTCCCAAAATAGATTTGATTATTAAGGCCCCTATATAGTAGCGGTAGTCTTGAACCGACCTCAGGCTCCTCATCATCCCTCCGAATCCATGCTACTGCTTAGCTCGCCTGCGCGACTTGCATACTATAGGGGCCTTAATGATTAGAAGGTTTTGAGTGAATTATACTATATTTCGAAAAAGGAACCCTTAGGCCCCCCCATATTAACAACTCCGTGCTTCAGGCAGCTCCGGCCTCATTCGGGGCATTGAAGACGGCGAGGACCTCGTGCAGCGCACACGGATTCTCCAAGTCTACCCAGAGGGTTCATAGCAGTTCCTTTTTCGGGGTTCATAACTATAACTATGGAGCCTTAAAGGTATTGCAATCGATTCATGGACAGTCGTTTTCGAATTCGGGTCGTCTTCGCCCTGCGCGCCTCGTCCGCGATGAACTCAAGCAGCGTCCCCCCGAGGCCCTCGATCGCACTGGAAACCTCCGAGCACGCAAGCACTATGCATTAGGTACGGCCCCCCCCTACAGTAAGAGTCTATAATAGGGCTACTATTAAGGTCCTAATACATCTAAATTATGAATACTATTCAACTATTACCGAGTGGGGGCCGTACCCAAACTATGCAACCACTCGGACTCCACCTGGTGGTCGACGGTGACACGAACAAATACTACCTATAGTCTCCATTGTAGTATTTTGCATTAAGGATCTTAAAAGGTAGCCCAAAAAAAGGAACTTCAATGGAGACTATAGGTAAACCAGGAATCCTCCTAGGATACCCCACAGATGCTTCCGTCCTCCCCATGGACGGAGCTCAGGAGGTCCAGCACGGCCTTGCAGCCCACGGCTCGATTTGCACCGGTGGCTCATCTTGGAATAGGGTTACGGTTTTGGGGTATAGTAGACTATACTTTAATAAGGAACACCCAAAATAGTATAGGTAATTGTTTAGGCTCTTAGAGTAGAAAAAGGGCAGAGCCCCGCTGTCGGATACTTGGGCTCTTCTGCTTCGCATCATGAAGCAGCTTTGCCTTCGGGTGGAGGCCCCGGCACATGTCCCGGAAGCCATCAATGTCACCTCAATGTGTTCTTTTCTCCAGTGTTTGAAGCACTTAAGACTTTTCAACCCGGTGCCTTCTGTGTCCATAAATCGCCACGACCAGGCTAGGGCCAAAACAGAAACGGGGGTTGGGCGTATTGCGGGGCAGCCATCGAATCAAGCCGTGTACTATAAACCCTTAGTGTTGCCCAAACTGAGTGGATGCCAAGGCCATCTGCCTCAACAGCTGTCCACCAACTGGGGCACGCACACACACACAAACCTATACATATTGCATATACATATTATACATATTTGTAGATTGGTATAAACAACCATGTGAAGCTACCATTACAGAGCTACTCTGGTACATGTGCTTGGTTCTGCGCCGATGTACTTCGATCTTTTAAACGTTTCGTGAACAAAGCCTTCCATCCAAGCCAAGACCCCGACTCTGCGTATTGTAGGGGTCTTTCAAGGTTGGAATAGGGTTTTGAGGCACATTATACTATAATCATCAGAAGGAATCACCAAAATAGTATTGGTATTTATCAAGGCCTGTACAGTAAGCCCACCCGGGGCCGAGTCGCAGAAAAAGATGCTCACCTCATTCTCGTGGAAGCCCACCGTTGCCTGCCAGTCTCCGAGACTTCCAGTCTTTCTGGCCTTCTTCGGTTTACAGTAAACCCCATAAAGTTGGAAACTGGATTAAGGCCAGATAGTGCTGGGATTCCCTATACATTACTCTTGAGGATTGAGGTTATGGGGTTTCCAACTTTTAGGCTTCTACTGTAGGTTGCCCGTGCCACTACAAGTACCGACTTGGTGCGTTTGCGGTGCGCTAGGATCCGAGATTTCCGGGTTCAATCTCAGCTCTTGGTCCCCTGCTGCAGCTGCATGCTTCTCAGCACCTGGCCTCCACTCCGGATCTGTACCTGGTAAGGTTTCGGGTTTAGGGGTTTAGGAGTCTACTATTGCTAGACTAGTCGTTCATAAGTACTCCTGTTATCTCTGTACCTGGCGACGCGATGGGCGCAATTTGCGACAGGGGAAGACAGGAGTCAGGAGACAGTTTGCAAATGAACACATGATACAAACAAGCTCACACAGGTGAATGTGTATATAGGTAGATCAACAAATAGGTAGATAGACAGATAGACGATCGATAGATGAATCGACAGATAGATGAGGTTAGATCGGTCAGATTAGACGGATTAGACCGATTACGTAAATAGAGAGACAGAGAGAGAGAGAGAGAGAGAGAGAGAGAGAGAGAGAGAGAGAGTGTGTGTGTTTGTTTTTGTGCGCGTGAGTGAGTGTGCAGACACACAGATATATACAGACTATCCGGTCTTATATCTGTCCAGTTATCTATCTTATCTAGCTGTCTGTCTCTGACCATCAACCCATCCGTCCATCCACCTATTATCTGCCTGTGCTGCCGTGGGACAACGACTTGAGCAGGTACGGTGGCACGTACTTGGCCCACGAGCGCAGTGCAGCACGCATCGTTGTAAGTGAACAGCGCAAATCCTGGGCTTGCAGCGAATCTTCCATGTGCATAATCAAGCAAATTCAGACCAACAGGGCTTCAAGATCATGCGTCAGCTGACATTCTGGTCTCCAACAAAGCCCTCTCCGTCGGAGCATGGTGCTTCTATTCATAATCCTGGCTGTTACTTTCAACGCTGCTCTCGTGGCTATCATGATGGTTGCCTTTGTCCCTCGGCTGGAAGAGGCGAAGGGGCCGCGAGCTCCTTGACGTCGTCATTGCTCCTGACACGTTCATGGGCCGTTCCAGGTGGGGTTATGCATATGCATTGGGGCGACAGGGTATGAGCCTACCTAAACTACCCGTAACAACACCCCGCAGCGAGCTTTCAAGCCCTGCACGCGAAGAAAGCCTGTCAAGAAGCCCAAGGCATCACCCGCTAGTCTGAAATCGCTACGAACCCCTTATACTTAGAGTAGGGTTTGGGGAGGGCCCATTATACTATAATTGTACTAAGGAGCCCCAAATGGTATTGGCAATTGTTTTTTTTCCCTCTCGCTTGGCTGGAAGGCAATGTCCGCTTGCGAGGTCTGACACTAGGCGAAAAGTTGGCTTGCAAAACAATCCATGAGCATCAAGCATCGGATCAATTACGAGCTTGTGTACTTGTGTACAAGGACAGCATGTTGCCGTCATGTTGCGTGCCAAAATGGCCAAAACATCAAGATGCACATCATATCTATACGCGCCTCACAGTTTCGCTTCCTCCATACTTTTGCCTCTTTCTCACTTTGCTCACCTTCTCACTCTCACTTTCCATCAGGGAACAAAGTCGCTTGGGGAGGTGTTGCCAGGCTGCAGATTGCCCGCGCCAACAACAACAACCCATCCCCTTGTTTTTTGTAACCATCACCATGTGTTCCAACGGACAGCGAACAGAGTGCAGTATGCCGGAGCACCAGTCCATGTAAGCTGCAGACAAACTGACTGTTCATTATCCATCACAGCAGCCCTACCAGAATCTACGCGAGATTTCCAGTGTGCAGGAGGACCATAGGCCAGATTCAGGAGCCCAGTGACATGCAGGTCCACAATATTCTTTTACGATCGCTTTGTGACCAAGCACACTGTCACCAGTTGTACAAGCAGTTGCTCGGTTCAAAAGGTCAGAATACCGCAGTCCGTCGCTCCAAAAGTTGCGGAGTACAATTAGTAAGGCCCCTATATTTACGAATCCCTTCTGGGCCCTGAAAACAGTAAACTCACGCCATCCACTGCCGGACCAAGCTTCTCAGACTTCTCTCTCCAGAAGGGCAGGCGCATGGAGTAGCGGATGAGCCCTCGGCTAGGGGGCTGCTTCGACTCGGGTCTTGCCAGTAATCGATTGGGATATGGGTTGGTTTGTGGCATAGGGTGCGGTGGGTTGGGATCTAGCGTTTGGGGTTTGGGAGGATTTCGGACTTTTTGATTTCAAGTTTTGAAATACTCGCTTTCGGCATTTGATTTTGGGCCGCCGGTTTCGAGGAGGAGAGCTCTCCCAGCCACTTTTGGTTGCCGCCTACTTCGCAAACGAGGAGCCCACAACGCAGGCTTGACAAGCCGCCCTTTTTGCAGCGGGCTTGCTTCGTCGCCCGGGGGCTCCCTCTGCTAAGAACGTGTGCCCAAGCAGAGCCGAACTCTCGAAACCGCTGGAACTCCTGCCAATCGCTTCAAGCGCTCGTGCCAATCATCAGGAACTACATCACATAAGAAAACTAGTGAGTACGTGTTGTGGAAATGGAAGCAAATCTGATGGAAGTCGTTGCTGGTTCATGGTCCCTAAACCCTAAGGGGTTTAGGCCTCACTGTGGGTAGATGTTGCCGCAATGCGATCCACTTGCGTTCAGCCTCTTCCACCTACCAAGATAAGAAGTCACCATATGGGTAGCTGTCAAAATTAGGGTCCCTTTTTGGGTCCTTATTATAATACGGCACCTAATATTTAGGGTAATTACCCCAAAAAGGGGCCCTAATTTTGACAACTACCCATATATTGTGGCTATGCTTGAGCTTGCAGAAAAACAGGGAAAGTGGGGTAAGCCGACACCTGCGCTCCGGGAGCCCCCGAGGAAGGTTCTCCGCAAGGAGCTTTTATCAGTGGTTTTGGGGGGTTCCCTTGGCTCTGTAGCTCCTTATGCAATAGGGATTAGCATCATCCCTGGCTCCTTAGCCCCCCAATAGCCCCAATATCAATGGTTAGGTAAGGAGCTTCTCATCCAGCCTTGCCTCTTGCCATTCCTCTGCAGATCCTGGCGTGGAGGCGGCAGGCAAACAACAAATCGTCGTGCCTCTCTTCTCGATGCACTGAGCCGCACGAGTACTAATCCAAACAGGGTTCAGGAGTCGATTTGTCAAGACTCTACCTTAACCTACCAAAACCTACTTTTTTGTAGGGTCACCATATTGGGGTTTATAATACGAACCCTACAGAAAATCAGGGTTTGGTGGTTTAAGGTAAGCCATTGAGGGGTCCTTGAGCATGTCGCTGGCAGGCTGGAAGTTCGTCATCCTCACCGCCTCCAGGGACCGAAGCGATGCCTCGGATAAAGAGAGGCTGGGCCTAGGAGTGCGGGTAAGCAAGGGTTGTTTGGGGCCGCTTGTTCTTCTTTTTTTGTTTGGCCGTTTGGGGTTTAGGACTTAGAGTTTGCAACTTATAGGGTTTAGAGTTTGGAGCTGAAGGTTTATGAGGGCTGCTTGTTTCAGAGCGTTTGGGGTTTCCAAATAGTTGCTGTCCAGTCTTCAAAAGTTTCGACGGTTTCTTTACTTGTTCAGGGATTGCAGGGTTTAGGCTCTCACAACTCGGACTATCCAAGCGAAGGATTTTTAGTGACAAGGCAGGCCAGGCTCCACAGCATCTGATTCGATATGTGCAGCTAGTTTCATCCCTTGGGAGCTCCCAATACTAGAATTGTAGCGGAGAGAACGGCTTGGAATTTCGGTTTCATCAAAGAAGTCATTGATGAACATGCTGCACAGGACATAGACCAGCGGCCATGTCGTCCAGAATGCTCCAAAGCGGATGCAGCATGCGAGTGTTCACCTGCAAAGATGCCGCCGACAAACCCTACATACGGCGGATCATTCAGTGCACATCAGCTGCTGTCGCTTGATTCTACGCAGGCGCCCCTCGGTCAGTCGCACTTGCATAAAGCCTACGCCATCCTAAGCTCACACACTTCCCTCAGCTGAAGCTAGGCCGTGGACCTTGTTGAGTGCGTGCATGAATGCCAGGGCGAAAACAACCATCAAGACAACCACGATGAATGTGTAGACCTGGGGCTTGCCATCACCCCTCCAGCACAACGCCTGCGTGTTCAGGCAGGCGCTTGAGCTGCTCTCAGCAAATCAAATTCCACATGGAGCCCCTCAGAATTCTGTGAGGTGAGAAGGTGGCAGAAAGCAGAACCCCGAACCCTAATGCTTGGAGGCCCTTTTGACTTAGTAAGTCTACTTAGTATCCCCTAGAAACCCCATTATAATCCCCATAACCCACCTTACTAACCCTACTTACTAAGTCAAAAGGGCCTCCAAGTGCCCAAGCCTGAAATGCCCAGACGAGGGTGCTTTAAGCTGCAACCGCAGTCGGGTAGCCTGTATAACATACATGAAGGGGTCGTTCGCAGGGATCCTACGTTACATAGGACAGTGCCCTGGAACTCAAAACCCCAAACCCTACACCACCCTTGTCCTTTTAGTAAGAATAGACAGAGCCCTATACCTATATCCCTTAGTAGGAATTATTTAAGGTCTACTAGCCGGTCTGTTTATTCTTTTGGGGGAACCAAGAAAAAGGACAAGGCCGCTCTACACCGTAAACCCCAAACCCTAAAACCCTAAACCAAAAACCCCTAAGCCCTAAGCCGGCAAACTGGGGTGCCGGCAATGTCAGCCTCGGCCTCCCCTCGCACTGACTCGTGCGTGTCGAGGACCGCTACACTGGAAGGCGAACCTTTGGGTCGGCAAATCAAGGGCCCTTGATAATCGTCACTATAATCAAAAGCAGGTGGGTGGCCGGCACCCAAGCTACCCATACAACTGCGTAAGCTAAACCCTGTCGCTCGTCCTGTCTGGACACTTGTAGTATAGGTACACGTTCGCAGGCACTGGTTTGCTCGCTAACTCACTTGCTAAAGCTGTTCAATGCTCTGCAACTTTACCGGTCGCTGGCGCACTGCACCTGTCCTCAATGGCAGAACATCAGAGTACACTCTACCCAGAGGGTCCATTGTGGTTCTTTTTTGGGATTGCCTTACAGGATTCTATGTATGAACCCCAAAAAGGAACTACTATGGAGCCTTAGGGTACCTTCTTGTCTAAAGCTGCTGTAGACTGAAGCAGCTCTCCCATGTAACGAGGCCCGCCTGAGCAATCTTCGTTCGGATAGCAGACCTCAATTGGAGTGCGGGAAACTCAAAGAAACTGGGAGCTAAAAAAGTGCCTGAATGTGACAGCTGTGCGATGCCGACAGAAGCGCCACAGCTCTCGGCAATGCTTTTGGCACGCCAGTACCAGTAGTTATTTTGGCAAGGGGAGCGCCAATCTGTGAAGGTGTCGATATGGGAGTTTCAAAGAGAAAGGGATCCCTTTTCTACACTCTACGTACACACTGAGATTCCTCCTTAGCGAGCCCCAAAACCGGATGGATCCATGTCCTTGGGCCCCCATATCCTTCTTTCATATGTAACCCCCAAGAGTAGGCAAAAGAACAGCCCTACATACTCTCAGGGTCCAGGTATAACACTAGCCTTTTGTCGGTAATGAGCCAATCATGTTTACGTACTTTCGGGGGTTTAGGCAAGCACCCTAATTTAGACACCAAGCCTTATCGAAACCCCTAGACCCTAAAGAACGTAAAAGGAACCCTAATCTAGAGAACTACCCTTACAGTACTCTTGATGGATCCTTTTAAAGGAACCCTAAAACGGGAACCCCCCAAAAAAAGAGAGTTACCGATATTGACTTATAGTACCCCCAATTAAGGTACTTGCAACCGAACTTACGAAGGTCCCGTGATCGTCCAGGTGCCCATGAGCATTTATAGAAACCCTTACACACACCCTACAGACCCCTTTCAAAAGGTATAGAAAGCCCTATAGACTTATAGACACCCCTATAGACCCCTTTAAAAACGGACCCTGAGCCCCCGAAAAACCCGAAACTTTACCCCTGAACCCTGAAGCCCTAAACTTAACAAAAAGGACCCATCCCTGAGCCACCCCGAAAGCCCCTAATGGAAGCCCGGCCGCCATGCGGAGCTCGTGGGCCTGGAAGGGCGCCTTCCGCATGGCCCGACGCGCTGCCTGCCATGCCCAGGTGAGGATGATGAAAGTGCATTAAGTGCTTTCATAGGTTTATGTATATATGTATATATATATATATGTACACACACATATACGCATAGCACAATATAATACTATGTGTATGCATGTATGTACGGTTGATGACACAAATTCTGCAGTACCCAGAATAAGGAATATACCATACTTCCATAGTCTAGGGTCATTGAGGTAATGCAGGATTTATACCATCAACCCTATGTATGTACATTGGTACGTACGTATGTATGTTTGTATACTGGTATGTAAACAGTTTATATATATATATATGATATTGCATATATACACTGCATATAGGTATATTTATGTACAAAGTATTTGGGGTTTAGGGTTTGTCATATAGTATAGGTACTATCAAGGGGGGGTCAAAGATTATGATGCGCCGTGCGGGCTGTTTCGACGTCTTAGGGCTAGGCCGCCGGGCAGGCCAGGTAGTGCAGATGTCAAGCTGGCGGTCAAACATAACTTTTAGCCAGTGGTTTTGGGGGGTTCCCTTGGCTCTTTAGCTCCTTATTTAATAGGAACGGAATATTATCATCATTGGCCCATTAGCTCCCCCAATATCAATGGTAATAAACGGTTTTACTATACACCGCCTTAAAGGGGCAGGGAAGAGGAGTGAGGGCCAAAGGCCGAAACCATGAGACCTGGGATGACTTGCGATTGTCATCCATATATATATATATATATATATATATATATGAATATGATCCCGGTTCGGCCGGCCCCCCCCCCCTCCCCCCCCCAATGGTTCCTCCTCCCCCGTGGTCGTGGGTTGCGTCCCCCTCATTGTGGTGTGGTGTGGTTCGGGGGTGGGTCTGCTTAGGCTGCTTAGGCTGGTTACCCCACTCCCCCCTATGTTGTGGTGTGGTTTGGGTTTCCTGCCTGGGTCTGCTTGGCGTGTGAGCCCTCGTGTGGAAAAAGCTTGCACAGTCACACACAGATCCGGCTTGGGGAGCGTGGGGGGGGGGGGGGGGGGGGTGAAACCATGGGGGGGGGGGGGGTCGTTGAACCGAGAACCGGGATCATATATACATATTTTGTTTGATGCCAGCATCACTGGGCATGGCGGTGGCGGCTAAGGTTGTGCCTGGAAGAAGCAGGTGTCCCAATGACCAGCCGCGACCAGCCCTTAATAAGGCGCGACCCCGATTCAACTCTAAACCGTGTTTCAATCATGCCGGGGAAGCCTGCAGCCAGGTGCCGTCGAATTCTGCAGTGGTATTGGCCGCACAGCATTCGCAGGAATCCTGCGTCCAAAGCCTGAGCAATCAAGCTTCCGAAAACAGGTGCCTTGGGCTTTTCCTTACCGTCCAGCTTACCCCCGGGAGGTGCTTTGTTGAAGGCTCCGCATTCGGAGCTGAAACCTTTGGCGATTCGCGTCCCTATATGGTCACCAGGCACGTTAGAATGCAGAAACGCCGTGGTGAGGCCATGTCGAAGCTGACAGAGAAAGAGAGAGAGAGAGAGAGAGAGAGACAGAGAGAGACAGAGAGAGAGACAGAGAGAGTGAGAGAGAGAGAGATAGAGAGAAAAGAGATAGAGAGAAAGACAGAGAGAGACGGTGCTCAAGCTGGCTCAACAGCCAGCTCAGAGCTGAGAACCGAGTTAAACGTCTCGCGCCCTCCGTCTCAGCCCCTTCTCCCGGACGGGTCACAGCGGGCCGATCCCGGCCATCAGCAGCCGATGAGGCGAGGCCTAGCCAAATCTCATGCTTTGCAAACATGAGATTCAAGCAAAAAGCTAAGAACGGCACTGTGTAAAACATCCCTGGCATTGCGTGCAGATATCCCTGATCGTGAATGTGGGCAAAGCTGGCCCGCAGAATTCATCGCCGTTGTACTTGATACCAGAAGGCAGGCTACACGACATGCCAGGAACTTGGTTGACTCTCGCTCGCTCTCTCTCTCTCTCTCTCTCTCGCAAGGCCCCCCTGAAGCCACACATTCCTTGGTCATGAGGTGCTTTGCAGAACGCATCCACTACCCCGATACAATGGATCCCAGAAGCAAGGCCACTCATGGGTCACACATCGTGCTCTCAAACTCGCAACCCTCACGTTCCGGTTGAAGTAGGCTAATATCGGGCCCTTACTAATTAGAATTGGGTACTGTTTTGGGTGGTATATTACATATTGTACTTAAAATTCGGAGCCCCCAAAATAGTAGTTGTCATTCTTTGATTCAATTAATTCCCGAAGTAGAAACCCGAGGCTGCTCCCCTGCACCTCTGCAAAGCCGGTAGCGGCAGCGCAAAGGTCTTCGGAGCGCCTGGGTGCGGGCATGTGCTTCGGTCCCTCGCGCTTCGATTCTGTGCGCTGGCTCATAGCGGCCGACGGCCAACTCACGGTCGAAGTCTGCGAGATCAGACTCTGGCCTTTCATGGCTCAAAACCCCATCGAGGAGACTCACAACGCTGGCTTGTGGCTTGTATAGGTTGCGACTCGAAGCCTCCATTACTCCTGACTCTCCCCCGAACAGCCTCCAGAATGTTGCCATATCAACAGTCTCAACGCGTCGGGACCGCGGCCCACACCTTAAGACCACCCGGAAGTACTTACCTTTGGTTAGTAGGGAATGGAGGAATGGGGTACAATTATAACTACTATTACTACCATTCTTCCATTCCCTTCTCACCAAAGGTAAGACTACCCCTATAGATCCCATTATAAGGAACCCCTATAGAGCCCTCGAAGGAGCCTTATAGATTCCCCACTAAACAAAGGTAAGTTAAGAACACCCGGAAGTAAGGACGCCGGAGCACCCTCGGCCCGAAAGGGAGGCCACCAGTCGATCCAGGTGAGCCAGGTGTTGGTAGTCGCCATGATCCTGGCGGGCTTTTAATTTAGGGTTTCGGGTTTTTGAGGGAAACATGGACTTCAACGTTGAGAAACTACAGCACACCTCCAGGACTTGAGTCTGAACGGGCAGATGCCGCAGTTTCAAGACGAAGCTGTGGGCCGTCGCAAACTGAAGCAAGATGCTTAAGTTTCAAAGGCAGCTGTGGTCCGTGGTAGTGGTCCTGTATGGAGTCATCGAGCACGACCACAATGCCCATGACGCCGAGGACAATGAGGCAGACCTTGACCACGACGGGACCACTCACCTCGCTTGGCGCGCGAAACTTAACTTCAAGAAATTAGGGAGTGCGCCCGACGTGCCAAATCAGCCGACCTGCCAATCATGACAGAGTTTAAAGCTGCATGCTCGAATCTGTTCAAGAAGAATCCTGTAACGCATGTCCCACCCTAACATCGACACTGTGGGCTTGGATTGGACAACGGATCCTTGAACCCTCAACCGCTTTCACCGTGGAGTTCTGGCACCTTCTGCACCAGCGAGAAAGAGGCCTTAACCCGCTGCACGTCCTGTTTTTCAAGGTCTGTCCAGGGCTATAGGATTTCGGGATGCCTGCTGGGACGTTCCGGGAAGAGCAGCACCGACTTTGCTGAGCCGCTATAAACCCTAAACCTGGGTTCAGGACTCATGGAAAAAGATGAGGCCGGTCTGGGGTTGCAGAACGCACGTGCCAAAAACATCAGCCTAGATCCACGAGAGATCTTATAGTGAATAATGTCAATGTAGTATCTGCCCATAGGCCCCATAGTAGTTCCTTTTGGGGGATCCTATTTAGAATCCTAGAAGGTAATCCCAAAAAGGAACTACTATGAGGCCTATGGGTGGTTACTTAAACTCGTATCATAGTAACCTAGACCCTCCATCTACCCTCTATTAGACCCTAAATGCCCCTTATTTGGGACCATATACGCCTATTTGAGGGTACAAGGAGGGTCCTGGAAGGACCCTAATCCTGGAACCCACAGCTCGTCCTCGGTGCACTTCTGGAGCGCTCGCTTGCCCTCTGGCCTTGCAGTGTGGCGCATAAGCACCCGAAACGGCTAGAAGACGATCTGTGGGAAGTGAGTACAGTATTCCTACTTGTCGAGTATCACGGGGAACTAAAGGTTAACCTTTTTGGTTTTTTAGGGATTATAAAGGGAGTATGCTACCCAAAAGAGGTTCAAGGTTACCTACTCTACTACTAGGTATTGGCGGAAGCACAGGCTCCCACTAATGACCAGTGGACGTAGCCGGCACCCACTCCGAACCTCACACTCGTCCTTGCCGAAATGAACCCATCCTCCCTCTCCAACCGCCCCGAAAAAACAGCAAAGCGACAAACATGTCTCACATTAATAACAACAAATCAAAGCCGCCAACTCGCCAAAATGATAAAATTACATTTGTAATAACCTTTCAAGCCTACGACCTGAAGTCGCGTGCTGATGCAATCTGCAACGTAGGAACTTCCAGCGACTGGGAAGACCCCATGCCTTCATCGAACTCTAACCGACTCTAACCACTGCACACTTTGTTACTACTTTACTCTGCCCTGCCCGTAACACCCCAAATTAACTCTACACTGACTTAAACAGAGCGTGAATCAAGACCCGGCCTTACCCGGAACTCGCCAATGATACCCGCGAAGGTGCCATCGCAGTCCTGGCCGTGACAGCTGCCGCCGTTCGCGTTGCTGATATGAGTGGTTGTCAAAATTAAGGTCCCTTTTTGGGTACCCTAAATATTAGGTGCCGTATTCTAATTGGGACCCAGAAAGGGGCCATAATTTTGACAACTACCCATATATTGCTGACTAAATAGGTAGGACTAGGACTGTATAGGATCCTTACCCGGAAGAGGGGGCCATAAGTTTCAGACTCTACGGTGTCTTGGGTTTTCACATCACTGAGGTGCTTGGAAATGAAGCTGCGGTTTAAAGGGTGGTGGTTACGCGAAACTTCTCTCATTCAATCTCCAGGCAGACTAGTCTTCCCGCGAAGTCCTTTTGTAACCGGGGCTTTTGGAGAGTGAAGGGTGTATGGGTTGGGTGCAGAGGGGTAAGAGCTGAAAACTTACTAGCAGTCGGCAGGTGGACTAAAACTACGGATGCTTCATTTGGGGGTTTGTAAAATCCTGCTTTTGCCGGTCTAGACTACAGGCATCTTTGTTTTCTGAAGCTCCCACATTGCAAAAACCCATCCGGGCTCCGTCTTCCGATCGAAGTCCCATAGGGCAGCGGAAGAGGCCAAGTGTGTCCTAGATGACGCCGCTGTTGAGGCGTTTGGGCTTGTAGTGTTAATTGATCAGGTTTCGATAGCTTGAGTTAGCTTACATGGCTTAGGTTTCCTTTGGACAATCATGTCGCCGTTTGAGGCTGCCGGATTGCACAGCATCTGCCTATGTAGAAAGCTTGGGAGTTATTTCGGGGGTTCGGCGTGGAAAGTGCCTTGGTCTGATCCACTTCAATCACCTCTGATCGAACTGCGTTTTCACCACATTCGCTTGGAGCTGGACGAGAAAAAGACAGCGTTGACCCTTCCATTGTTGAATGTCGACATCCCCACAACCATGATCCTTTATCTATGTCGCTCGTTTGGCCCTGATTCTACTGACAGGCTTTCTGCTTGCGGCTATGACTTTTGACGAGGATGCTCGTGATGAAAAGTCAAACCAAAAGAAACGAGTCACTGTGGGAATGTGTAGAATAGGAATTGCAACGGTAGCACATATGTAAATGTGTAGCGATCATGGGGTCATCCTCACACCTAAGCCAGTCACTTCCACGCTATGAGCCATGCCAGTGACAGCAATGCAAATTCAAGGAGAGAGGAATTTCATGCTCAAGATAATGATATAGGGCCCTGGCCTCCGGTACCGGCAGCCTTGAAGCCCGAAACGAAGCCGAAACTACCTAAAATCGTCAACTGTTGTTCTTACTACTACTTACTATTGCCGTTCAGTATATGAGTAAAAAACTATAGAAGTACTACGACATATAGGCAAAAAACACTACCGTAACTACCAGAACCCCACAGCTCGGCCCCAATTTGAAGGCTTCAAATGCCCACGCACCCGACCTCAAGCCTGAGACACCTACCTTTTTCTAGGGCTCCTTGTAATACGATTTCTTTATTATAAGTCCTGAAAAAGGGTAGTTTATTCAGGGTTCCTTGCTACGAATTCAATATGATAAATCCTTGAAAAGGTAGGTGTTATTCAGGGCTCCTTATTACGATGTCCTTATTATAAGTCCTTAAAACGGGTAGGTTATTTGGGGTTCCTTATAACGATTTCCTGACACAAGTCCTTGAAAAGCTAGGTAGTAGGTTATTTAGGGTTCCTTATTACGATTTCCTTACACAAGTCCTCAAAAACAGGTAGGTTATTCAGGGTTCCCCTAACCCCCTAAACCCTTCCGCCGGGTGGCAAGCGCGTGAAAGTACCAGCCCCGGGCTTCAAGCTGGCCATGGTCCCGTACCTCGGGGTACGATACTTGGAGGCCCTGTTGACTTAGTAAGTCTACTTAGTATCCCCTATAAACCCTGTTATAATCCCCATAACCCACCTTACTAACCCTACTTACTAAGTCAAAGGGCCTCCAAGTAGAACCATAAGGAAATTAATAGTGTAACTGTTCTTTTGGGCTCTCTATGAACAAAAGAATCCGAAGGAGACTATAGGGTTAAGGGTTTGGGGATTTTGGGGCTGTGGGGTTTAGGATGGTGTAGGGCTTCGGCTGAGGAGTGTTTTAGGATGTTTAGGATCTGGGTGGCTAAAGTCCTAGAGCCCAAAGTGGAGCAATCATAGCCAGGCAACTGCCTGGCCGCGAAAGCCATCGCCGGAGTCTTCGGCTGACCGCCAAAGCACCGAGACTTTGAAGGTAATACCTGGATTCAACGGGTTTTTCCCCTCCTACCTAGCAAGGACGAAGCCCGCATTGCAGGGTGTCTCGGTTGAGCAGTTGACTACAGCCATGTGCTTTTTTTATTCAAATTCAAAGGGGTTAGGCTTTAGGGTTTAGGCTTCAGGGTTTAGGACTCAAGGTATGTGATTCGGTTCCGGACTGTCAGCAATCTCAATTGGGACCAGGCAGTCCCACTTCAAGGCTTGCGACTCTCAGAATCGCTCACGGCAGGCAGGCTCCAGGCAACAAGTCTCCGTTCTTACATTTCCCACAAAGCCCAATACCCCTTAATTAAGGAATAAAACTTAAATTATAGGGGCCTTAATCATATGAGCTGAGGTATATTCCTTGATTAAGGGTTATTGGGCTCTCTAGGTTTGGGTGTTTCTTACGTGAAACCTGCTGTCGGCAGGTTGGCTCTGGTGTAGTTCGGCATTGGTGATTCGAGCTACCGGTACGGGGCCTTAATCATTAGAATAGGGTCATTTAAAGGGATCCTTGAAAGGGTCTATAAGGGATCTACAGCAGGGTTCTATGGTAAAGGGCACTTAAAAATTAGACTAGGGTTTTTGGGGATCATTATAGTACAAGTATAATATGGAACCCCTAAAAAATAGTTCCGGTAATCATGAAGGACCCTTATAGTAATTAATCTCTGCTAGCGAAGCTGCGGGTTGCCGGACTGTGCATGCTGACTGCTGACAAGCAGCTCTCCGCTCCGGAAACTCCATTCGCATGGCCTGGGAAGCTTGCAGAACCGGAGCAAAACAGTGAACGTGGGGTACCTCATTTTGGAGGGCCCTCAGAATAAGGCTCCACCTGTCTAGGGTACTATATTAGGGTCCCTTATCGTATCATGCTTCAGAATTTCGACAGCAGCTCCGGTCTCGGTGGTACTGGAAACGAGATGAGTATGCAAGCGAATCCTCAAGCTTGAAGCCTCCAAGTCCCGAAGAAGTTTTTTGGCGGCGACGTTGGGATCACTTGGGGGGGAAGGAATGTTGCAATCATCGATTATTACTACTGCTATTATGATGACAATTGTTGCCTTGGCTCTTGATCCTTAAGGAGGCATCCCAAGGGCGAGGCTTCTGTTCTTGCTTGAGGCTTGCTTGTCGCGCGCGGCTGTCCTGAAGTGTCCTGAGCATGCGCACTTAAAGCCCTGAACCATGAGATACCCCAACAAAGATATCTCAAGCCCTGAGCACTCAACCCTAACACCTACAGCCAAACCGCTGCAGGCTCAGACCCGGACAGTAAAGAAGAAATCCATCTGCTCACTCGTCAGCTTGCCCTTCTTTGCCTGGCAGTAACCGGTCTTCAAGGCCCAGCTACTCTCCCGACGTCTCTTCGCATAAAAACCCACCTTCAAAATCTCGAGTCACGAATTCCGAGTCTTTAGGGCTTAGTCTGCGGCTTGGCTTCACTCTGAATTTCGGGGCCTTGGGACGTTTGAATGCTCCTGACTCCTTCTTACTCACTTGGGACCAGCGGCTTGGGAACCTCCGAAAATGATGGTGTTCGACTTACACTACTGCATTCTGTCTTAATACCCTCAACAACGGCCTCGAGTATCAGGGTACTACTACTTACAGGGTGAAGAAACATGGCCCCCTCGACTTTCCCTTCTGCAGCTTCTCTCGCCAGTTCTAAGTACAGTGCAGTCGGATGCAAGGCAACTGTCGCTACCAGGGGCTACAACCACAACCTGGTTCACTACTGTAGGTAATGTCGGAATCATTGCTTGGAACCCCCTAAGGCAATACTACTTACTACCCCAATTTCCTATGAAGCCTTCACGGCAAGAAACCCGCGAAAGCCCAACCAGCCCTAAACCCACGCAAATCCGGAACTCTAGACACGAGACCCCTTTAATTTAACACCCTTGCAGAACCCTCGCAAACCAAACACCATACAAAAGCACTGTAAACCCCCTATAAGACGGTACAAACCACCATCCCCGAAGATCCCCGAAGCCCATGCTGTTAACACCTAAACCCTAAAAACTCTTTTGCGACAGGCTTTCCACATTGCCCGGAGTTGGAGCAAGCAGCCCTAAAATCCGCCGATCAACGGCGTCAAACCCCTAAACCCTAAATCCCTTTTTTTTCTGCAGGCTTGCATGCAAGGACGCGTGGTAGCTTAAATCCTTTTTTTGAACCCAGACTCTGCTGATCAGCTTATATCCCTAAACCCTAAACCTCTAAACCCCAAATTCCCTAAAACTCAAGACCCCTAAACCCTAAATTCCCGAAGTAGCAAAACAAAGCAGCCCGGCGGGGTGGGGGGTGGGGGGGGGGGCCTCATCGAGGTCCTGGAAGACGCGCCAGAGCCTGTCCAGCAGAGGGACTGAGGGGCTGAGTACCCTAGCCCAAAAAAGGGTTTAGGGTTTAGGGTTTAGGGTTTTCAATTATGGTAGAATAAGGAACCTCCCCCCCCAAATAGTAAAGGTAATTATTAAGGCCCCTATGTTAGGGTTGAAGGGCTGAGCAAAAAGGGTAACCTCTGCAATCGTGGTAGGAATATAAAAACCCCAAAAGGTTAAAGGTTACCTCCTCAGCTACTAAAGGGAAAAGGGGCCCCGCCGAGTTTTCGGTTAGTTTAGGGTTTTTGACGGTCGCACTCGCAAAAGGCAGTTTTGCCCGGTTTCAGCACTCACTCTCAGACAAACCTTGGCGACGATTTCAGCACCTTCTACAGCACTTTGGCCTTGCCCGGTTTACTTGGAGGATCATGGGACTTAGTAAGTAGGGACACTAAGTCCCATGATCCTTTAAGTTTAGGGATTAATGAGGGTTTAGAGGTGTGTGGTTTAGGGTTTCCGGGGGTTGCAGAAAATTAGGGATACCGGTTTAAAGGGCCCCTCTTGACCTTCTGATAAGGGTTCTATTGTTTAACCTTCCACGCCTGACTCACACAGCAGGTGCGGCTTCACAATGAAAGTCCCACGATTGCTGCCGGTGTATGTGGGTGTCCAACAGCATGAAAACACATCTTCGGTGTCGCACGCCTTTTTGAATTGGTCCCCCACCGAGAATGGTGTACGGCAGTCATCCTGTGAAACATCATGTATCTTGGAGCAGAATTTCAAACGGCCCCTTTTTCAAGAACGCCTCTTGATGGAAAACATGGACACTCCTAGTCTCAGCTTCAGCTGCTGCACCACCGACACAATCCACACCAGCAGCCAGCTCCCGAAAACGAAGATGTGGGTGATGAGGAGGATTCTTGCAGCCGAAACGGGTAATGCCCAAGATGCACCCACTGAAGCCACGAAAGGCAGCACACACCATTGAGCCGCGGAGAAAGGCATCCTCGCCATGGTAAACACGATGAGCTGCAAGTTCATCCAGAAGAAGTTCAAGCCCGTGAGTAGCAGCACCAGCCGTGGCGAAGAGGCCACCAGGTCATGCTGCCAGAATTGAGCAGCAAAAAAAGTGACGGCTATCGGCACCAGCTCCTGCAGCGCGACGGGTCCAGCAGCTTTAAGAGTGGTAATCAACGGCGACAGCCACATGGTGCACACGACGGCTGCAATCCCCTTGAGGAGAATGCAATCAGGAGCTGCACGCAAGAAGCCGTGCCACATGTCTGGACCAACCACACCAGACAGCAGCATGGCCGACATCACAGTGAACTGACCTTCAGTGACGCCCATTTGACCAGCGGCAGTGGGGAACACGCCAGTGTGGTACTCCTGCCACGCGGCCAGCAAAAAGCCGATCATCATTGATTCCATCGAGAACAATATCCAGGGCATGCTGCTGCTGCATGCGATCGACGCCACCGCCGCGTGCTGCAGCAAGTTCGCCACACTGTCGAGGCCATGGTCGAACAGCTGGCCGAGAGGCGAAGAGGAGCCCGTGCGGCGAGCCTGCTTGCCATCAACAGCATCCATCGTCTGGTAGAAGAGCATTGTCACGCACCAGCCTGGGATCTTTTTAAGCAACTTACTTTAATACCATATTATGCTTTACGGATTTATAGCAGTACTAGTAGATAATATGGCTTCTTTCTTCTGGTAACTTAACTTAAGCCCCTTAACAAAGAACTCAGGAGCTGATAGACAGCCATCGAGGTGGTGCTTGGCCAAAAAAGGGATCGCTGTACCACGAGGCCACGAAAACGGCGCAGAGAGGGACGAAGCCGATCACGGTGACCAAATTCGGGGCCAACCACATGGGCAGAGCCTCAGCAATCCTGATCCAAATCGGGTTCATGACTTTGTCAAAGTATGTATATTCTCCCGGCTTGTACTGGTGGTGGAAGATCTGATCGGCGCCCTCCTCCGTCAGAACTCGTATCATAGCCATGGCTCCAGCGCTACTCTAGAGCTGCGGGTCTCGAGCCAATCCAGCTCTGGACTTGGACCCTATGACATTGGGGACTTGAAGCAAGTGTCTCTTAATCGGGTTCGCATATGGGAGTTTCCGACAATTGGGGGTACCTTATTTTGGGGACCCATAATAAGGATCCTACTATTTAGGTTACTATAATTTATATTAGGGTCCCCTATTTTCGGAAACTCCCATATAGCACCCGAAGGCTGACATGACCTTCCACCATTTCCACGCCTCTTGTGGTAGAGCTGCTGTGCCAGGCCATGGTGTGGACGCAGAAAGTTGCGCCAGACAATGCCATGCAGAGTCCGCAGCAACCTCGGATCCAGATCCGCGGAGGTTTCATGCGGCTGCAGATTTTATGTGTGCTCATAGGCTCCATAGTAGTTCCTTTTTGGGGTTCATATCTAGATTCCTCCCAAAAGGAACTACTATGGAGCCCATGGGTAATTCGCAGGTTTCATAGTAGAAGCCAGAAAGTGAAGATGGCTTTAGGAGGATTGGTGCTAGGATCCCCTATACTTTACCTTAAGCGCATGAGGATAATGATGCTCCAACTTTCTTGCTGCCACTATAAGTGCAATTTCGAAAACACGTCCCATCTCTGAGTCTTTGCACATATCGGGGCAGGGAGCTGAACAATCCGAAACAGCCGGGCAAATTTCAGGATCTCGAGAATCCGAGATGAGCTGGAAGTGAAGTGGTCAGCCGGCACCACGTTCCTGGGCTGTGTGTGGGATGTCGGCCTGTGCCTTTTGCAAAGGGAGCTGAACACTTGAAGGGCCAAGTCACAAAAGAGTACTACCTTCCAAACCAAAAGCTACATTATGTAAATACGGCAAGCCTCCAAAACAAGCTGCGAATGAAGCTTTGATGTACTCTGCCACTATGAAAGCCCTTTTTAAAGCACGGACTTGGAGTACCCTTAACCCTATACTACAACCATCCGAAATCCTCGGCCAAAGCGCATGGCCATGGCAGACAGGTCCTCGGGGAAGAGGTAGGTCAGCAGCAGGGTATCTCCTGCTCAGGAGCCCGGGAACGGAGTCTTTGGTATCACTCCTCCCTTACTTGAAGGATCATGGGACTTAGGTTTCAGTACCTTAGCTGTAGCTGGGATTATAAGTATAGTTACCTTATTTATAACCCTACGTGCTAAGTCCCAAGTCCCATGATCCTCCAAGTAACCCTCAGCTGCCGACCCTCAACCGTTGCAACGTCAGAAGTTGCGTTATGGCAGGTGGTGAAGGCCGCCTGCCAAGCTAACCATGGCCATCACATCCAGGAAAACTCGTCCAGAGCGCATGTACCCGTTCATGAAGATGCAGCTCAGAATAGCCTTGCGAAAGGGGGTGGGGGCGAGTGATCTTGCTCTTTGAAAACATCACATAAGAGCTTCTTCCGAGTACATGTGCCACCTGAATGTCCAGAAAGGAGGCTTGCGTGCTAGCCTCTGAAACTGCCACGAAAGCCCAGGCCAAAGTGGGCGGATATTCTACGATCGGCATAGCACGGCGATAAAAAAGACTTGACTGCCTAGCCTGCCCTTTTTGAAGCAGGGTTCTACAGCTATGCCTGAATCGATCCCGGAAAAGCCTTTCTTGTCGGACAAGGAGCCTCCACGCAAAAGAAGAATAAGACGACTGTGTTTGCTATCGCCAGCGACTGCGTGTGCTCTGTGCTGAGCCCGAATACTAACAAGATGTCTGGAGCAAACAGTGTGTACATGGTGAGGACAGCAAAGGTAATGGCGAAGATGTCAGAGTGCACCATGACGTTGGTGAGGTTGAGGCACACCCATCGGCCATATCTGCCACCTAAGCACGGACTCACAATACTGCGCATTGCAGCATGACCAATGGCAGGAGCTACAAACTCCAGGCTTTACCCGTGGCAACTTCTGCAATGCAGCCATGCTGCGCTTGTGACTTGTCAAACTCAGGCAGTCCTGACAAAGCACACGGTGCGTCAGCATGGAAGGTGTTCATAAACCAAGAAAAAGAGTTAATCTGCCATGCGCTGGCGGATGGAGCATAGCTTCAGTAAGGCCATCCTCTATATTACATCCTTATATTAGCCCTTTGAGAGGAACCCCATTCTAATTATTATAGTAGCCCTTTTAAAGGATCCCCATTCTAATTCTCATGGTAGCCCTTGTAAAGGAACCCCATTCTAATCCTTAAGGCCCTCGTCCTTGGTTTTGATCGTCTCATCCAGCTCAAAGGCTTGGAAGAGGCATCGCATGAGCTTCCGGAGATCCCGCAGCCGCTGCCTGGGTTCACGCGCTTACCATGCGTTCGGGTCGGCAATCGAGCTATGCACTTTAGAGTCCAGGGTTTAGCGGTTTAGGGTTTAAAAAGTATAAATCCGAAGCTCCCCGAATTTGTCAGGAGCTTGTTCTGAGTTTTCAAGGCCCATGATATTGAAAGATCCGGAGCAGCTCCAAAGAATTCTTGGGTTGGACCGTAGACCGATGTATCGTGCTTACCTTATCCCGGAATAACCTAGCTTTTTAAGGATCTATATAAGGAAATCTTAATAAGGAGCCCTACAAAGGTAGGTTATTCAGGGCTAAGGTAGGGCATAGATTTCCCATCATCTGTCTCTCACAGCACCTATGTTAGCGACAATCTGCTCCGACACCGATCGCTAAGCGTTCAGAGCTTCGTGAAATGGCGGGAAGAGCTCTGCTTGCTGACGAAAAGCTGATTGTTCTGATCGCACCAGTCCAGGGTATCAACCTGCAATGCTCCGGACAAGCGTCCAAAGCCTCTCCATGCACCCTTTGGTGCACAAAAGTGATGTCTGTCTAAGTTGCAACTCACACCTGCCACGCATCTCTAGGGTGAACTCGACAATACCTCGGAGTCTCCACATCTCACCCAGAGAGCCCAATACCCCTTAATTAAGGAATGTAGCTTAGATCATAATATGAAGCCCCCTAAAATTTGAGCCATATTCCCTAATTAAGGGATATTGGGCTTTCTGGGCAGACCTCACACCGCGTGCCTCACATCAATGAGACTTATTTTACGGACCCTCTGGACTTGACAAGCTCTCTTCACGTCCAACAGAAGCATCTATCAGAGATCCCTGTAGCCTACCCTTCCATCCTGATCCTTATAAGAACATACTAGTCTAGGCCAGGCCAGGCCAGGCGAAACTAGGCTAGCCAAGACCAGACCAGGCCACACTCACTAGACTTGACTAGACTAGCAGACCAAACGAGTAGACTAGTCGTAATATAGGGGCCTTAATAATTAGAATAGGGTTTGGGGGCCCATTATACTATAATTATAGTAGAGAACCCCAAAATAATATAGGTAAATATTTAGGCCCCTATATTGGACGACTAGGCTGGGCTGTGCCATGCTGTACTAACACAGTACTGCTCGGCAATGCCATGCTGTACTTTACTAAACATTCTTTTACTACACTATAGTCGACTGCATTACACTAGGCTCCACTACACTATGGCCTTCATATTGCTACACTAATTTCCACCACACTACACTAGGCCACAACACAAATATCCGTGCAGCCATCAACTCACTGGACCAAAACCCAAGGAGATAAAAGTTGAAACTTTCAGAATCGACTACCTGATAAGAGCCCCAAAAGTTGAAAAGTTCAGTCTACAGCCAATAAGTCAAGAGTGCCCTAACATAGCACCCTAAATAGTAGGATCCTTTTTATCATAGCGACCCCCAAGCCATCAAGAAGTCCTTTCCGCGCACACCTCGGTGTTCTCGCCATCTCCGGGTTTCATCTCAGTGGGGGCCTCCGACACAACCTCGGCTCGTCTTGTCTCTTTATAGCTCGAAAAAAGGGTGTACATACGTACACATATATATATATAGACATGTGGATCAATCAGAAGTTAAATCAATGAATAAACACATTAACAAATAAACGAATGCAAACATGAATACACACACACACATGTGTGTGTATATATATATATATATATATATCAACGAATAATAAAACACCACCCAAAAATACAGCAGGCTATGCCGAGAATGAAGTCAGTTTCAGTATGGCATGCGATTTAGCTGCTTGACAGATGGATAGTGGCCCGACGGGAAATTCAGGGTTTCAATGCGTTCGGATGTAGGGCTTTCCACTAGCACGTCCTTCGATGTTTGGCATCAAGGGCTTGCAAGAGGTTTAGGTGTGAGGTTGTCGTGGAACTCGGATTTTGGGGGGTTGAGGCTTTACAACGTGCACGGGCTGGACAGCGGACAGCCATGCTGGATACAGCTGCCACCGGCTCACTCAACCCTCAGATGAAGATGATCAGTCAAATCTAAAGTGTAAAGACCTCGCATGCGGCCAAAGCTGGCAATGAAGCCAGTATTGGATGCGCAAGTCCTGAATCCAACAAAGCTAACAACACCCTGCACAAAACTACCCAAAGAAACAAACCCTTACATAACCCTACACAACCCTAACCCCGTTAAACTCTTCTCTATAATCCTATACTCCTCTACACCCCATACGCCCTTCCGCAATCCTATAATGTTCTACCCTATCTGATCCTAAAATTTGCTTTCCTATACTCCTATGTACGCACCCCTAAACTTTTCCGAAATAGTATGCTACCTTGTTTGATCCTAACCCTATCCCTCCAAGGACCTCATAGTTAGGGCCCTAGACCCCTTAAGGACCCCATAATGAGGTCCCTGGAGGCATAGGGTAAATTCTGCTAAACCCCTATAAGCCCTAAACCCCTAAACCCTAAACCGTATTCTGCTTTCGCCAGGTCTCTCGGACCCTGAGCCCTCCGACATCCGCCAACGCGTTGGCGCACTCGTTGTTGATGAGGTCCCCGGCGACCTCCAGGGAGACGGTTTAGGGTTTACTTGGAGGCCCTTTTGACTTAGTAAGTAGGGTTAGCAAGGTGGGTTCTGGGGATTATAATAGGGTTTCTAGGGGATACTAAGTAGACTTACTAAGTCAACAGCGCCTCCAAGTAGGGTGTTTAGGGTTTAGGGTTTAGGGGTGGGCGACCTCCCGGGGATGGGCGGTTCTCTAAGCTAAGGGTCCCTTTTTGGCTACCTTTTAAAGGGGTCTATAAAGGGATCTATAAGAGTTTCCATAAGGGTGCTGTACGGGTAGTTCTTTGGATTAGGGTTCCTTGTTACAAGGGTGCGCTGCTACATTGGGGACCGAAAAAACCCTAGTTTGGAGAACTACCCACTTCGAAAGACCCAAACCCAAGAGACACAAAAAGCCCTTAACTTAAGAAAATAGACACAAGAATAGCCATTAACTAACTTGCGGATAGTCCTAGAACTATAGAGGGATCCTCTATATGAAACCCTCTTGCCTGCTGCATTGCTGAACGAGTCGCTAGGGTGGGTGCGAGATGTCTCATCAATAGAAATCATGCATTAGTCAGAACTGCCACAAGCCTTTCAAGGGTAAGTAGGATGCAGCATGATTATCAAGCCGCTACTTCTCCTCCTGTTCCTGGCAAAATGCCATGTCACCACCGCACCAAATTCTCGATTAGCTGAGCTTCGTTAATTATCAGTTCGCAGATCGCAATTCACGTGGATGAGCGCATTATTGAATTACCATATGCTTTCACATGCGGGTAAGCGTACAGGGCGATGCAGAGCTGTCAACGTACTGAAAGCTCTGCATCAGCAGTAAGCCGCCAGTCGTTCCACGACACATTCCGTAATGACAGGGCTTCGGGTTCTTTGGGTGACAAGTGCTTCTGTGCAGGAACAGTCATGGCAAACAGAAACGGAGGCCGAGCTGGCACAATCCCAATACTCAAACTCATGCACACAAAACCATCGTATCAAGACCGATGACACCAGACTCAAGGAGGTGCATTGTAAAGTGCTGATTAGCAGCCGGTCAACTTTAGCAGTAGCACAAGAACCCATCACACGCATGCAGCTTACACATGATACGCTTGGCTTTCTGTCCTAGATGCTGGTGATGTCTGGCCCACTTCAGGACGGCCAATCATAAACATGCCAACGGACCCTCTCCCTCCCCACTCGCTCCCCTCCCCACCAGTGGGAAGGAAGCGATGCTCAGGGAATCCGTGGACACACAGTTCTGCAGCAGCGTCCTTCCAAGATGCTGACCGACGAAACAGCACGGGCAATGACGGGCAATGCCGGCCTTCCACCGTTTCTGCCAGCATCGTTGCCCGCTTGATGCGACTAGGACTTGACTGACTTAACTACTGCTGAAGGTGGTGCAGAGGTAGATACATACATGCATACATACATACAAACGTACATATGTGTACATTATGCACACTATGCATAAATAATGTATTCTACGCGGTGTGATGATGTGAGCGTATGGTACGGCTTGGCATGGCATGCCATGGCATGTCGGGGTGTGGTGTGGTATTGCAGGGTACGGTTTGGTGTGGCATGGTAGGGTAGGGTACGGTAGGGTAGGGTAGGCTACATGTGGTATGGTATGGTGCGGTACGGTAGGATATGTCTACGTGTGTGTGTGTATGTATATACACGTACTAACGCACAGGTAGATGAAGGTGGAAGTAAGACAATGCGACGATGTACAGTCAGAGACAAGAGAAGAACTAACGACGATAGATAGGCAAATGATGAGTACACACTGTTACGCTTGAATATGTGGGCATTACATTGTACCGTCGAATAAATTCAATGCTACAGACTTAACGTTTGATGTGGCTGCAACTGCGTGTGCCGGTGCTGGTGATGTGGTCAAGAAACGCCTGCATCCACCTCGCAGTGTTGCTAAGGCAGAACCCAAACCCTGCCCGCGTGCTGGTATGACGGTGAAACAACCGAAAACAGAAAAGTGCCGAAGCGAAGCCTAACATTCTGCCGGATGCCTGTTTCTGCAACGCGAAACCCTTTTCCTTAGACCCGAAGCCCTCTCCTGCGATAGGCCCGGCCCTGCAGAAGCGGGTGGCATTCCATGGCACGCCGGCAGTGGCGGGCCCACCACGCACGAGCCTGCCAAGGTGTGATGTCCAAGACTTCAGCTTGCAAGCATTCGGGGCTGTACTAGGCCGCTGCTGTACATAAGTTCAGGTGCTAGCGCACACTGCCTGAACTCCCGTCGCTCTGGGACTCGCTTGAAGTTCGTGTTGGTGCCTGTGAATGTCATGGACTGAAACGACTTGACTTGCGAGTTTCCGAAATTCGGGGTACCTTATTTTGGGGGCCTTATAATCAGGATCCTACTATTTAGGGTGCTATATTAGGGTCCCCTATTCTCAGAAACTCCCACTTTAAAGCCCCGAGCCTCGTTGCAAGAGAAGGGCTTCGTCTGAATGTGGCTGCAAATCCTCGACGCAAGGAACCCAGGCACGAACTGAAGCCTCGAGCCTTCTGAACCTATATTTAGGGTTTAGGGTTTAGGGTAAGGTAGAAGCCAGAAAGTTGGGGAATATGATTATCCTAAACCCTTTATGGTAAATTATAGGGTATCCTACCCTGAAACCATATTCCAACTTTCTGGAGTTCCCTTTATATCGATCATGCAGTCGCGAAATCTTGGTCTTCTGGGGGGGCAATGTGAGAAGTGGCATGAGCATTTCAGGAGGCAAGCTGGTGGTTTATCCATAGGCCCCAAAGTGGTTCCTTTTTGGGATTGCCCTATAGGGCTCTAAATACGAACCCCCGAAAAGGAACTACTTTGGGGCTTTAGGGTAAGCATACAAAACTCTTACCATCTTGAGGCTTCAGGCGCAAGGGGATCCGAGTGTTCCTTGCTTGTAACACACCAGCCGGAAGAAGCCCCGATTCTTACCCTTGGTTAGTAGGGAATGGAGGAATGGGGTAGATTATGACTACTATAACTACCATTCTTCCATTCCCTACTCACCAAAGGTAAGAACTGTTCTGATCAAGTGTCTTGTTGATGAGATTGCCGGACCCTTCTGCATCCGCAGCGACAAGTTCAGTGAGCGAGCAGCCTCACGACAGCAGCACTATGGAACCAATTCAAAACGCCCTTCCAAACTACACTGCCATGTGTAGTTATAGAATTTAGAACGCCTGCAGTCGGACCACGAAGTGCCGAGTGAAAGGAGGACCACGAAGTGCCGAGTGAAAGGACTGGGTGCGAACATCAGAGCAATCCCCAACTGAGTCCACTGACCTATATTCTGGAGGACCACATTGACTGGAATGGCGGGAATCTCCGTAAACAAGAAACCCTAAACCCTAAAACCCTAAACCCTAAACCCTAAACCCTAAGAGATCCTAAGAGTTAACACCAATGAATTCCTTCCGGGCCTCGGGACCGGTTCAAATGTGCGAACCGAGCAATCCCGAAACCCCAAGCCCAGAACCCTCCGGGGTGTAGGCCTTCCTTCCTCAAGGTAGTTTTTATTTTTGAGCTGCTTTTTGCGTCTGCCCCTAGGTAACATCAGCAAGGCACTTATGCGCCTCAAGGTAGGTTTAGTATTTAGGGCTTGGTTTTAAAGTTTAGGGAAAAGGGTGTTGTCTTTTTGCCTCCTGCATTGCTGCACGAGTCGCTAGGCAGGGCTTTTGTGTTGAGACGGTCTGCAAATTCTCCGGGCATGGGTTTCAGGGCTTGAAGTGGCTGCTTCGCCTCCTGCCTGACAAGGGCGGGTTTGAGGCGTTCACTCTCACCCTCCCGATGAGCCCTGTATCGGCAAGCAAAACATCTACAACACTTTTTCGCTTTGCCAGAACCAAACCCATAAGCTTCCCGAACCAGTACAGGAGCCTACATACTCATGGGGCACCACCTGCGCAACCCAACAAAGCAAGAGACCACTTCCCAGAGCGGTTGCAGCTTCTAGGCGCAATGGACATATGCATAAGTCTCTTTTATCAGGATATCCTTCCTAAACCCTTTTACACCTGGACTAATCATATGCCAGGAACCGACGCGCCGACTGTGCTGCGGACTCGTGCCACACGGCTACCCCAGATTGCAAGAACTGATCAACTGGTCATCCCAAGTTTCAGGATGCAACGACCACGTGGCTACAACTCCAAGATCCTTAAAGATTCGACAAACCCTAAGCCGTCCTTACCTTGTTGTGCTTTATATGTGATATCCCTATCTCCAACTTCAGCTTGCGGCAGGGGGCCTGGCTCAAGCTCTCCTCCCAGAGCCATGTCGAGCTCCTTTGGGCACTGGCCGATTCTTCCCGGTGAATCCGACCCGAAGCCCCGAAAGTTGAGGGTTTAGGATTTCGGCGCTCACACTCGGACAAACCAGGCGAGGCACATGGTTCGGAGTCTGACAATGTGAAACGTTCTAGAGGGACAGTCGAATGACCGGTTTCAACAACAAGGGGTTTAGGGGGTGTAGGGTTTAGGGTAAGTAACATAGTCGCCCAACACCCCAGAAGGCCATGATTCTACATACTTTGGGGGTCTAGGAAGCATCTACCTTGCAACAAAGCCAGGCATACTTCTTAGACAAAGCCTTCTAAATTGCAACCGGTTGACACATCAGCCGGCGCGCAGAGACTGGTACACGTATGTATAAAATCTATTCACATACTCCCAAACGGATGATACCCTAGTAGTGGCAACATCTGTGCATACAAATGACCATAGACACGCAACTACACAGACTGATTTTGCATCTATCCATCTGTCTATCCTTCTATCTCTCAGGGTATGAACCTACTTATCTATCTGTCTGTCTATCCTTCTATCTCTCTATCTGGGTATGAACCTACTAGTCCATCTATCTATCTGTCTATGGAGCTGCAGGCTCCCTCATAGGATCACTTCTCCTGACAGGGCACCAACTCGACAAACAGCTTCATAGAAGCACCTACTTAGTTACTTGGAGGATCATGGGACTGAGCAAGTAAGGTCATTTTTTGCCACCCGCCCAGCTGAAACAAGTCGCACCGCAGGGAACTCGTCCGAACTTACTGTGACTATCGAGAGGGAAGATCCCAGGGTCAGTATGCACTCCATGCCGAACAGCCCAGGACCAAATACACAAACATGCAGAGCAGGAGTGCATATCAACGCCGAACCTTCGAGACCTAGTGCCTGCCGAGAAAGTGGGCTGCAACTATCCCCAACGACCCCAAGTCGTTGGGGATAGTTGCAGCCCACTTTTTCGGCAGGCACTAGGTCTCGAAGGTTCGGCGTTGATATGAAGTACCCTAACTGGGGTTATAAGTATAGTTACCATAGTTATAACCTTACTTACTAGGTCCCATGATCCTCCAAGTAGACTCCCTGGTTTCTACTCCGTAAGACCGCAAGCCCAAAGGCTCTTAAACCCTTTTCACCTAAACCCTAAACCGCAATCAGCCGAATATCTGTGAGCTGCCCACGACGGCATGGCACCAAGCGCCCGGTCAGCACGGCGAGGAGCTGGAAGGTGGCTGTGAATGTCTAGTTTAGGGGCAGGGAAGGATGTGAGAAGACCACTGTAGTAGTTGTAGCTGAATAGGGACTATATGGGGCACTACAGCAAGACTGGCATCAACTTGCCCAGACAATAAGCATGATACTGCAGTTGTTGTCGGGGTCATCATCGTCGTATTCAAAATTAACGCTGGGGCGCAGCTGGAAAACAACCTGTTCCAGCACTTGTAGGGAACGCTGTGACAAGTTGTGGGCCGACAAAGGGCTTCTAGCTTCTGACATGGGGTGTGACAGGTTTAATTGAAGACTCGTGGGTAGTCGTTCCACAAGTAGGGATAGAAATGGTCGATTAAGGTACGTCGACTCGGCGTAGCTCGCATCCTCGGCGTGTTGGGGCTCAGGAGGTCACTCTCCCTGACTCAGGCTTGCGGGTTTGCACAGCTCCTCAATCAAGCGCCGATCAAAGCCGAGGCTCCGCTTCTACGAAGCTTTGGCCATTCTCCAGGTGCTCCAGCCTGTGTACAGTGGACATACTTGGAGGATCATGGGACTTAGTAAGTAGGGTTATAAATGCCTTAAATAGGGTTATAAGTCCCATGATCCTCCCCGTAGCGCTTGCTTGTCGGTTCTCATGCTTCGGATCGACTCGTATACCTGGTGGTAGCAAATACACAACCAAGCCCTTGGCTTCATGAGCTGGCACAACTTGCACATCAGCGTTGCACCAAAGATGCGTCAATGCCTTTACAGACCACGTGCTTAGCCTCCAAGCCTTAATGCAATGCTTCTGTGCCTTGTGGGAGCTGCATAGGCCTTCGAAACAAAGAACAACAATGACAATGATAGCAGTGATGCAAGAAGAAAAGGAAGCAGTATCGAAAACCATGCCGATTGCACCAACAGTATTCATCCAAACAAGCCACTAAGAATGAACAATAACAGCTTGAAGCCACTACTACGGCACTAGTAAGAATACAAGTGTGGAGCCTCCTGGTAACCCTCGGCTCCCGCAGCCTGCAGCTGCCCTGCCCAGCCTTCCAGACTCATCCATGCCACCCTCGAGCACGGCGATGAAGGAGGAGAGCAGCACTTCGGGCAAGCCGGGGCCTTGCTGCCGTGCTTTCAAGGGCTGAAGGGGGTCTTCCCCTCCCGCCTCGCTATTGAATTCTGTCGCACCCAGAGACAGCGTGAGACCACACTCCAGACTCGACTGGAAGGGTTTCATGCTCTCACAACTCGGCTTTCGGCCAGGGTTTAGAGCTTCAAAGTTGTATCCCTTTATTGCCCAGAGAAGCACTCTCTCCCGGAAAGTTACGGGCCTTCGTAGCCGTGAAGTACAGGGAAGCCGACCGCCATGGTATGCACATGCCTCCCTGGGAGGTTCTGCAGCGCCTCGGAGCATTGAGATTATTGTTGTTACAAGTACTATTACTATTATTGTTACCATTACTAGTACTAGTACATGTCTTTTCGGTGTTCGGTTGCAAAATTGCTGCCCTCTGGCGGGCCACGGCTTTCCATCTGCAACACATGACTTGAACAAACCGGGCTCCGGTCTACACGCGTGCCGTCAGTCCAGCTCTGCAATGCATTCGCTAAATGGCTACACTTGTCAGCTTCTAGCGCAGCGTGCCTCACGGTTTCAGAGGACATTCGCAATATCCAACAATTTGCAGCTCGATATGCAGGCTTTGTGCGTTCTCCCAGGCCAAACTTCGGCGACGACTGCAGGAATCGGATGGTTGCATCCCAACCAACCCCGTTTTAGTTCAGAGACGAGGCTCCCGATCCAGGTAGTCCAACTGACTCTCGGAGGGCACTTCGCAGCAGAAGGGCCCGGCATTGCTAGCCTCTGCCAGGCTGTGGCTTTTTTTTTGGGGGATTACATCGATTCCAGGTGACAGCTACTTATAGGGGCTGAGTACCTTAGCTCAAAAAAAGTTAACCCTTTCAATTGTGGTAGGATTATAGAAGCCCCAAAAGGTTACAGGTCACCTACTCTGGTCCGAAGGCTATATGTAGTGATCCGTCTGGAGTGCTATCCGACAGCTGCCATCCGATGAAGTTGAGAGAGACAAAAAACTAACTTTTTAAATTAACATGTGTATACATACATATACATATAATATGTGTATATATATATGCATATATATATATATATATATATATATACATACTACACATGAAACTGTGTTATGATGTTTTATCACTCACTACCTCCCTCCAGCTCTCACGGAAACCCCTGTGCGGACGAAGGGCTGAACTCCTAGGAGTGGGTCCCAAACTCATCGGCGTCGTCGGTGCTGAAGGCATGGTGCACACGTCGCCTGTCACGAGACTGTAAGGTAAAAGCCAGAAAGTTGGAATATGATTATCCTAAACCCTTTATGGTAAATTATAGGGTATCCTACCCTGCAACCATATTCCAACTTTCTGGAGTTCCCTTTAGGGGTTCAGAGACCAACAAAGCATATTATGCACTCCGAAGGCCGGCTGACTAGAGGGCATCGCTCCTAGCTGGTTGAAGGAGTTAAAGTTTTAGGGTTTTTGTTTCCGCGTCGTTTTAGGGTTTGGTTTTTATGGTTCAAGGGTTTGGGGTTTGACGGTTGGGGTTTCGGCGCTCACACTCGGACAAACCAGGCGAGGCATATGAGTTCGAGTCTGCAAAGTGAAACGACACTAAGAGGCTTCGTCACTACGTTTCAGCAACAAAGGCTATCAACACATAAAGTGACTGTGCCTGCCTGCGAAACCTCTCCTTGGAATCCAAGTTGAAGCAGCAAGGACTTTCGGACTCCAAGGTAGTAGATTCGGCAGATCGCTCAGGGTCAGGGATATAGGGTTTAGGCCCTACAATGTTTCAGGAATGATATTCAATAGTAATATGCTACAAGGGAGAGCCGGGTTGGCTCAGGCACTGCGATCTGTTGTGGGGATCACGCACTTGACGATCCCTAAAGTCAGCTTATTACCGACGTTACGAGCATCTAATTCTGACACCATCGATGAAGGAGGTGAAACTGTTGGAGTATGTGGAGTAACCTACATATGGTGCGACGGGTGGACTCAACCGAAAAGCTTCATCACATAGTTATAGGACGACGAAATTACATTGCAGTATGATGAACCAATGTTTGGGATCCCATGCTTGACTTTGAAACAAATTCTGACATGCACCCCTCAGTGTATGAATTAGCTCACTAGATGGTGTCTGGACATGATTGAATGCAACGCGAACATCACACTCAATCATATCCAGTCACCTCGTGGGAGACAACCCAGCTCGTTCACAGATCTGTCAGAGCAGCCAAAACCGGCGCTAATGGCAAGAGCAGCAGAGTGGGGACGCAGATTGGTATGAATTCCGATATGAATTCAGAACGTATCTTCAAAAGCTCTTCATGCAATCTCAACAGGCATATAGTGTAGGGCAACTGACCATCCTCCTCAAAACTGATCTGTTCAGCCGTGTCTTCCCATGTTGTGCTTACCATCATGCAATAAATTCAGGAGAATATGTCCGGCAAAGCGTTCCTCATATAGTTGTCCATAGGGGAAGTCGCCGCCATGGACTTGGGAAGGCATCGACCACGTCGCTGAGATTCCTGCCTCATGCAAACCAATTCCAGAAAACCAGCAAGGTTATTCCACAGCGAGAGGCCAGAACAAATGCCTTGGTCAACGGTCTTTCTGCCCATATTTATACACCCAGCATGTAGTGTCACATGTTCAGGCTGTTTTGTCACTTGGCAGCTGAGACCATGCAGAGTTGTAGATGTTTGGCAGCGGAGGCCATGCACATGCAGTGATAAATTCCATACAGTCCAATCATGGTGCAGCGGGGCCATGCAGGTGCAGCTGTGAATGCCATACACTCCATCATAGGTAACAAACATGCAGTGTCGCCGTCACGTTAGGCCTGCAGAATTCCATGTTTCCGCGCGGGCGCGGGGTAGTGGTTTCTTAAGGAAAACCCGTATAGCACATAAAGAACCCATGCAAAGTGTAAACAACATAGGAAAGACTAGGACTAGCCACTAGATACTAAAAGGAAAGGATAAAACATGCTGAAGTGGGGGTTTAGTGGGAATAGGGATACAGTGGGCTTGTAGTATGAAGAGTACAGCAAAGTAAAAGAGTTACAATAGAAAGCAGAAATCCAGGGACCCCAAGAAAAGACCCCACACAAACCAGGCTGTCCTGGGAGCGTATCTTGCACACACTCCTGCTTTCTGTGAAGTAGAGATTATGCCCCCACGACGGCGTCCATGGGCCAGGGTAGTGTGGCTTGGGAATCAGAGGTGTATGAGTCTACTTGGGTGGGCCTGGGGCGCTTATCCGAGTGTAGAGAGTGAGCAGGGTTGAAACCATCTGAGTGTGCTGCAGGGGGTGGTTCAATAGTTCTTGTGTTGTTTGCTAGATCCTCTTCGCTATCACTAAGCACCAGGGTTACTGGAAGACCCTGTTTGAGTTTTCCCACTCCCCATACTTTACGTGGTGAACTTCTTGGGAAATCACACAGGGTAGTTTGTCGAAGCTGCCCAGGGCCCATTAGTACTCTAGAGTAGAAGTCAACCTCTAAGCTATCCGGTGTAATAAAGCCTAGGGAGTTGAGGGCACCGTCGAGTTCCTTAGAAATGCTAATGGATCCCATGACTGTAAAGGCAACTGCTACCACTCGTCGGTTACACCAATCTTCCGTGGCATGAAGGAGCCTTTTGCCTGTGAAGATGAGCGGGGCCCCACAATCAAAACTGTGCAAGGAGCCCTGAAGGATACCTCCCATATAGTCTTTCGATACAGTGCCTGAAGGGGATTCGACCCAAATTTCCCCCCCTGTGAAGTCACTTAAGGCAATAACCGCTTGTGGATAGTGAGAATTCCGAAGATCCCTGTGAAGCCCTTTACCCGCAGAATCCCGAATAGCAATAGTTGAGAACTTATGGTGAGGGGTAACCAGGTGGAAAAGGCTACTAAGTTGACAGGCTAAATATTGTAAAGGGGCTGTTGCAACACAGAGGCGTGTTAGGTCCCGAGGATTCAGTCCTAGGGTGAGTGTGTGCCCCGAGCCTTCCGCTAGCTTGTATTTTGCAGGGGCATCGTCAAATGCCTTAAGGATCTGCCTCTTTAGTTCAGAGACCTGTTGGGTAGGATCGGGCATGTAGGGCGTGGGTTCGGGGCTGGCTTTACCTAGAAGAGCCATCTGAGCCACACTTTCACATTTCAGGCGGAATACTCCAATTAGTTTGGGTGCCAACATGCCGGGTAAGAAGTTGTTGCGAGGAAGATGTAGGGTCCGAGGAGGGGGTAGGTTCAAGGTTTGGAGTAGGGGGCATAAACGACCTAGCAACTATAACTGAGGTTTCATAGACTTGTCGCTCCATCCAGACTACCCAGTCATGTACTTCCTCTCTCGTATGGGTGTGTACATTATCCGCTACAGGGTCCGCAGAGCTGTCTAGCCAATAAGGAGCGCATTCCATAATGGCATCGTGAACAACTACAATGCCATCTAAAGGGTAGGTATTACGCTTCTGTGCAAACCTAGAGTAAAGAGAATCCGCAGCTACCCTAGCCACTCCAGCAGGCATGCTCTGCAGTTCACGTCTGAGTCTTTGTTTCAGTTCAGCCTGCTCCAGGGGCATTGCTTCCAGTTCTGCACATGCGCAAGAAGCTTGAGGCTAAAGGGGTCTCTGTGGATGCATCAGACGAAAGTGTGTTTCTGGGGAGAGCGGTTGTTCATTAATGGGGTCTTCGGGATTGACAAAGCATACCCTTTCACTGCGAAGACGTGGGTCTCCTGTAGGCCACAGATAGGGAAGATTCCAGTTGGTGTGGATACCAGAATAGCAGTCTAAGGTGTGATAAACACGCATGGAGACACGTTCAGCCCAAAGAAAGATGCGGTTATTGTCGTGAATACTAATAGTTTCTGGTCTATCCTGTTCACGTGCAGCAAGCGTACTAGAAATAACATCCATGAGGGTAGCCCAGTATGACCAAAGGACAGACCCACTGTGCTGCAATGGAATCATGCATCGCATTTTCCTGAAACGAACCAAGAGCCTTGAAGCAGCAACATAACAAAGATCCGGAGGGTACTGCAGCAACATGTTTTGGACTTCGAGGCCCCAAATACACTCCCTACTGAGCTCCCAAGGTGTAAGGACATCTGAACGGGGACGGAGGTACATGGTTCAAGATGATGAACTGCTAGCATTGCTCGAGCCCGATACCACAGGTGGACTGAAGGCCTTGTGAACACAGCAGAAACGGACGGTGCACTCTTTCATGAATTGAGGTCACACTGCGCCATGCATGTATGGATTCCTTGCATTTAATGGTGCACACAAATTCGAACATCCTAAATTCAAAACATGCATATCTGGCATAGAGGATGGGATGAGAATTAGAGGGAGGGGAGGGGAAGTAGTGCCTAGTAATACTGCCGATTGTGAGGTCTGGGGCCCTGGCCTCGGGGTCTATGAGCAAGCCTAAGAGTGAAAGGATACGGACACTGCGGGTCAATGGCCTCTTCTACAATATTGGCGAGATCGCAGGCTAATAAAAAGGATTCATCCAGAGAATAAAACAAGCACTGCAGGATGAAATCCTGAGAATCTAGTCTATGGCGAATCAAAGAACATAAACCTGTGAACCTCTGGGATGGCATCAGAAAGATCAGCCTGCAGATCAATAACTTCATTGGTGAAGTCATCATGCAAATGAATTGCCTCCGATGCTATATTATGAAGGTCTTTCATTTCGGTGCTCAGCTGAAGGATGGACCTCCGGATCTGGTCCACTTCGTACTCCATTTTTCGCAGGCGCGTATCAATCGCTGGCAGCAGTGTGTGGGTACGCGTTGTCCCAAGGAGGGCTTGTACGTGCAATTCTAGAACCGGCAGTTTATCAAGCTCTTGCAGACGAAGCTGCATGGCCGACAGCATAGCAAGCTCCGATTCTTGCAGGTGTAGGAGGCGTTGTAGCTGATGTAGCACAGGTCGTATGTGTCTATCATAAACAAAGCGCAGTCCCCACGTCAATGCCCACACGGCTCCCAAAAGGGGTAAGAGCAGTATCGGATTGCGTACAACGGTATCCCACATGGCTGTGCATACATGAAGAGTACACTAAACTGATGAGCCAGGGCTACATCGTGACTCGTAATATGAACCTCGGTCGCAAACAAGAGCATGTGAGGGTCAGTTGTAGGGGGGAAAACATCGATTGTGAAAACAGCTACCACATTTCGGGTCTGCGGGCGGAGCCCATGAAGTGGCGCACGACGAGTCATTGCACTCTTTTTGTCACAGGCGTTCAGATT